TGAGGCGGAGACGAAGCGCGCGGCTTCGCGGTTGTTGACGGCGCTGTCTCCGAGGGACGGGTTGTTCTTGACGTGCACATCCCGCGCCTTGACGAGCTCCTGGTGCGCGTACCAGTCCTTGTGATTCTTGATGGCAGCGAGCGCCCGCGGCCGCGGGTACGTGGATTTGCAAGTGCCATTGAGAATCGCGTCGGTAGCTGGAAGGGACTCGGGCTCGGGGAGCGGGACGCTCTTGGGGTAGAACTCAGTCAGGTAGCCGCCGCGGACGGTGTAGTACTTGTTTTTGTCGCGGGCGGCGCGCTTCTCGCACACCTCTTTCCAGTCCGAGAGGGCGGACTCGTAGGTGGCGATAGCTGCGGCGATGGCGGGGTACTTGGATGCACCTCCCTCGTCGTGGGCGAAGTCGGGGTTGTCGAGAGTGGAGAGAGGAGAGAGTGGGAGATGGACGACGGTGAACCAAGAACAAGACGCAATAGAGCTTGGAAATCATTTCTGCAGCTGCGGCAATAAACTCATCGAACACACGACAGAATTGCGGATTGTGCTAACCTACGTGGGTCGTGGCGTCTCACGGCCCGCACAAACACGCTCGCTCGGAACGAACGAAAGCGGCATGGAATGCGGCAAGCAAGCCCCAGCGCGCCAGCCCAGCGCAACGAAGCCAAAGAGAGGCAGAGATTAGTTACAACAACGGTGAAAGGCAAACGCTCAGTCCGCGCACAGTGCGTCACTAATCCCCTCACCGCTTCCGGCGAAAATCTCCACGCACGGCCACGGGTTCTCGACCGAAACGCGGGTGGGTGTGCACACTGCACACGCCGTCGGGAGGACGACCCCGGCTAGCTGCCGACCCACCCCCTGCCTCAATGATTCCTGCATAAAGACAGGCTGGGGACCCACTCCTTGCACCCATCTCTGAAACAGCCTCACGATAACCGCCAAAGCCCGCCTGGTCATCCCTCCTGGGCCTCATGAGAATCGGGCTCAGCCTTCCATAAGCGGTACCGGACGGCGAATCCCTCGGGCACGTACACCACGCAGGGTAGGCGGCTGTTGTAGCGCACGAGCAGCGGCTGCATGCCAACGAACTGGAGACTCGGCGGTGAGTCGCCGAGCGGAGCCATGCGCGTCGATGCCGCCGCGCCGTCAGACGTCGCGACATAGTAGTGGTAGCCCCACCCTTGCAAAGTCTTCTCCTCCACAGAGCCAGACAAGCGGACTCTGTTTACCCCGTCCGTCTCCAGGTATTTTCCCACCTGCGATGCATTGACGCGCGGTGCGGCAGGGTTGGAACTTGCGTGCTCTGTCGCGCATGAGTTGAACTTGGAGCCCTTGGAGTGTGGGTGTACTCTCGGCGACGGCGTGCACTCATATCTCTCCTTCCACGCACCGTGAACTCGAGCTTGGCAGCCCCCTCATCGGGGAGCGCCTCGAGGTGGATGACGATGCGCTTCCAGGCGGCGCCCTCACATCCTGGTGGCGTGGCTGAGAACGCCTTCTCCCAGTTCGAGGACATTACGGTGACGCTCGGCTCTCCGAAAAGGCACACAGCTGCGCGCGAATGTAAGTATGTAACTCGAGGGACGTCCGAGAGTACGGAGGGCAGGGAAGCCGTGAAGAGTTGCGGCTGTGAACAAAGACGACCCACTTTGTTTTTCAGTACATTCCCATAGGAGGAGTCTGATGAAGGGTTCCACCCGCCGATTCTGAGAAGAGAATTTTACAAAGAAACTCCCTCGCACGACACTAGGCACCACACCCCTCTCCTTAAAATCCCTGTGTGGTGGCGGCGTGCCGTCCTCCCATCCCTCCCTTGGGTTGTCCGTTTTCTTTCTTTCTTTCTTACACTAGGCACGGGACTGGCGCGCACTGGCTCTACTTAGAAGAGAATCTCGCCATCTCGCTGGCCTCTCCGCAAGGCCCCCCGACCGCGTCGAACCCATCGGCGCGGCATGCCTCCGCATACGTCTTTTTTCTTTTTCGATTTTCGGCCCCGGATTCGCTTGCTTTGCTTGCCAAGCAAGGAGCGATCCAGGCCTGGATCGCCTGCATCTGGAGGCGCTGGCCACCTAAACGGCTTGAGGCCCATGACCTCACTCCTCGGCAACACTGCCACCGCGAGGTTCGAGCTCCCATCCACGGACTCGCCGTGGCAAGTCGCCTTTGGAGCGCCAAGCAAACTCGGCCGATGCCTGTCTCCTCGCACATTCTTGGCGTTCCGTGTCCTCCTTGCTCTTTTCTGGACCGGCATCACAATCTGGAGCATGGTGGACCACAAGGCCAATGACCTCGAGACGGCGCCAGAATTCTACATCTACCTCACCAACTGGAGCCTTCTCATCGAGTGGTTCTACCTCGTGTCTGCGACATTCGTCACTCGGATGGCACTCCGCAACCCAAAGCGAACTGCGCTGGATGGCGCTCCATCAAAGACGCCGCTCTTTGCGCGCATCACGTACGCAGCACAGGTCGAGACCTACGTCCTCTCCTTCTTCGTATTCGTGCTCTACTGGGCGCTCGTTTACGATGGCGGCACCATCCATGCTCTCTCGGTCTTCACCCACGGCGTCAACTTCCTCGTCGCGCTCGCAGACTGCCTGGTCGCGGGCATCCCAATGCGCCTCGTGCAGTTCTGGCTCCCCTTCGTCATCTCGAGCACGTGCGTGAGAGTAGAGTAGACCTCCGCACATCCTTCTTGTTCTTCATCACAGCTCGGTCTCTTAGGTACGTCATCTTCTCGGTTGTCTACGACCTCGCCGGCGGCACCGCCGACGGAGACTCATACATCTACTCGGTCCTCGACTGGTCCGAAGATCCGGGCACCGCCGCCACATACGCGGTCCTCGTCATCCTCGTCGCCTTCCCTGTCGTCTTCGCAGCTTGCGTGTTCGGCGTCTACCCTCTGCGTGCACGGTGCGACTGCTGCCCGCCCGCTCATCCAGAGCACCGCCGGCACTGCCCGACACCGCTGGCGCTTCCGCCCGCGCGCCGCGAGCTGACGCCCAAACTCGAGGCAGAGCCGGTTGCCCCCGGGTACGCGCAGCCTGTGGCACCGTAGAAGGCGGCAGCCCAGGGTGCGCACAGTACAGTATTGGCGCGTGGCGCGATGGCGTCCTGCCCGTCATCCTTTCCGCACACGCCTCCATGTGTCGGATGTCAAGTACAGTCGATTCCGACGTCGACGATCGTGCTGTGTCGCGCTGTGACCTCCCCCCGGGCTGGCCGGGCTGCGAGTCGCCGTTCTCCGGGCTCTCAGCGATTTTTTGCTTCTGTGTACGTCGTTGATTTCAGTATAGTACGTGCGCATGTCAGTGTTGTCTGTTGAATGAGCTTGGGCGTACAGTCGACGGGACCCATCTCGCGATGCTGCTCGACCTTTGCTTTCACGAATGGGCGGCACAAGCACAACCGTGAACCGAGCAGCGAGCTGGCCGGCGCGGTGGGTTATGGCATAATTTATTAAATTATAATAAACCCCTTATGGAGAGAGAGTACATGTACATGTAGGGTACTGGCAGTAGCCCACAGCCACACCCCAACAAAAGTGCCCACTCGAGATGTCGAGAGAAGGTGGGACTGGGCGCAGTGAAACCACCCCCGCCTCAACCCGCTCAGGGACGGACGCATTTCCCCCCTTTCAAAGGCAGTTTCGAAGTTGATGAGACCTCGTCCCCCCCTCTCCAATGAAAAGCGTAAAAAGAGGCGCGGAACAGGCCGGAAGCGCCGCTTGGACGTGGGTCACACAATGGCAGCGCTCCAGACGCGCTCTGGTAGCTGCCAATGAAGCTGCAGCCCATCGCGCGCGCGCCGGACGGCCGCTGCACCTCCACTGCAGTGCCCTCCTGCACCGAGCGACGCGTCAAACCTTTGTTGCTGCCCATGACCGCCGGCGGCTCCGAGCTCGGGCGAGCGAGCCCTGGCTGAGCTGAGCCACTGCGGTCGCAATTGCAGCGCTGCGGTCGGTGCAGAGTGGCCGTGCGCGTACGGCGTCGTACGCGCACGGCCGCTCTGCCTCAGTGGCGTGCGGCTTGGGCCAACTGGAGGTCGCTCTCCGACCTCGCTCGCCGAGCTCACAATCCGGCGCGAGCCGCATCGAGTGGAAGCTCGACTTCAGCTGCCGCGAGTGGATGGACTGCCTTGTCGAGTGCAAGCAGTTGGGCTCCGCCGGGAGCATGTGGTGCAACATGTTCTCTGGGCGCCAGCAGACGCGAGCGCGCAAGCGCGTGTTGAACCGGACGCTCCATAGCAACACTCAAGATACACTCGAAGGGGGCACACGTTTTTTTATTCGGGTTTCGTGGGTTCCTAGTGCACTTGGAACCGACGAAACCGAAGCGGGTTGGCCCCGGGGTGGTTTCACTGCGGAGGAGCACTGCGGCTCGACCTGTACTCGCATACACCTTTTCCTGAGCAAAAGAGAACATACGACCAAAATTGACACAGGGACTCACGCTCCATACTCCATTTTGTCCATACACTCAAGTGACAGCAAAGTAGCACAGGCGGCACCCGACTCCAAGGATACGCTGAAGACGCTGAGGATAGCGCATGTCGCTGCGCTGAAGGGCTCACGCTATAGGGTGCTGGATGAGGACGGGTACGATGCACTAGCCCCAGCCGTCGGGGGGGGGTTGCCAGCACTGGTAGATGATCTCTCGGAGAAGAGCCGGAGGGACCTTGGCGCCGGGGTCACGAGGAACTTGCAAGTCGTGGCCGAGGCGGCGACGGGAGCGGTGCAGACGAGAGGTGGATCCAGCTCAATGATGAGGCTACGGCGCGCGCATAATGAAGAGAGAGGATCACATCGAGTGGCTGAGGAAGCTCTCTTCGCTGGGTGGAAAGAGGCTCGGCCGGCCTTGAGGGAGTCGCGGAGGAGGAGGGATAACGGAGGTGGCAACGTGCGGACAGGCCAGCAGCCAGTGGGACGAACGAGGGCCGCGACGGCGGCTCAAGCGGGAGGGAGCGGAGACAAGTGGGCAGCGAGCAAAGTGGGTGAGACTGATGATGCTCCTTCGACTTAGGGAGAGCGGTTCAGCTGCTGGGCGGGCTTCAGGGTGGTGCTCACGCGAAAAGGAATCGACGCGATGTACAAAGCATACAAGAAGAGGAGAAAGAAGAGGAGAGACACCGGTGATGACGAAACAGAAAATAGCGCTGGCGAGAGCAGGGCAGACCCGGGGACGGGGGAGTCGGAGCAGACGGCATCGGCCGCCGAGGGAATGTTGGGAAGAGGCACGAGAGGAGGGCGGCGACCTCAACCGACTATGGAGGACCCGTCGCCAGACGACGCAGGGCAGACGACAAGGAGGCAGAGCAGACGCGCAGGGCGAGACGAGGGAGGGAGCAGGACGTCGCGGAGATCAGCAGGAGGATGTACGAAGAGATTAAGAGTAGCAGGGACCCGAGGGACCATGTGGAAGACGGCTAGTGCTAGTCCCCCATCGGGAGGACGACCCCCCGGCTAGTCGCCGACCACACCCACAAAGAACCCGGCACAAAGATCGCACGGGCGGGGACCTGTTCCTTTTTAGATTTTACCCATCTCACAGTAGAGGTGTCCGTTTTCATTTATTTATTTACACTCAAGTGACGAAGTGTACGTACGCACGCGCGCACACCCGCGCGGCGGACAACACAGGTATCCACAAGAATCAAACAGTACAAAGATGTTCATGCAGACGCAAAATTCTAAACTGCACCGTGAAGCCGCACCGCTGCGTGCAGTGCGAAGGAAGCGCAGCAGATTACTCGATCTGAAAGCCGTCGTGCCGGTGCTCTACTGCCAGCAGCAACTTTGCCCGCAGCTGTTCACGGGTCGCATACGGCGGCAAGTGCACCTCGTGCGTGCATGTGTGCACGTTGGGCAGGTCGTGCTCGTCGGCGCTCTCGTAGAACTTGAGGGTGATCGGGTCCTTGAGGCCGCCGCAGGGCAGCGCCGTGAGCGCCGTGGCCCACTCGAGGAGGTGCAGCCGCGCGAGACTGCCAAGCCCCGTCTCGGGTGACTCGTCGAGGATGATCTCGCGCAAGTAGCGCGGCGCGTCGGAGCCGGCGGCCGCGAAGCCCGCCTTCGCCTCGGCGCTGACCGACGCGTCCGGCCAAGCGAAGCACCCAAGGAGCTGCTCGCGGCTTAGCTCGGTGTTTCCGCGCAGCATGCGCAGCAGCTCTGCGGCGCTGAGCGCGCCGAGCTGCAGCCGGAGGTCGATGGTCTCCGTGAAGCCGTCGCACAGTGCCCGGAGGCTCGCCTCCCGGATCGTGAGCAGCTTGTGGCGGCAGCCGGCCAGCACCGCCCTCTCCATCGCCGCGCTCTCCGGCGGCACCTCCTCCTCCGCCGCGTCCGGGTCGAACAAATCGAGCGTCAGGCCTGCGGGTGGCTGCACGAGCAGCTGCGCCCACCGCTGCGAGAGCTCGGGATCGAAGTCGGAGAGCACGGCGAGCGCGGACTGCGGGTCCTTGAAGACGCGCCACTCGTGCGCGTCCGCCAGAAACTCGAAGACGAACCGGCCGAACCCGCGGCCGAGGGGCTGGTCGTCGAGCACGCACCGGCACATGATGCGGCCGATGTTGTTCATCGACTGCAGGTCGGCGGTGGGCGAAGGCAGCAGCCCGATGCTCGTCGACGCATCGTCGCCGGCGCCCTCGAAGAGGCCAAAGTCCGCGAGCAGCACCTCACGGAAGAAGCAAGAGTAGAGCTCGACAGTCAGGCCGCCGAGGTCCTCCCCCTCCTCCTTGCTGCCGTGCACATCGACGAAGGTCACCTCGGTGCGCTGGAAGAGCTTGAGCTTGGTGTCTGCCGCCTTGATGGCGGGCGAGAAATGCCCAACGACATCTTGGCAGAGCTGGTTGCGCCGGACCGTTAGTCGCCACGGCTTGTTGCGCGCCGTCTTTGACGGCAGGTACTGCAGCAGCATCTCGACGTACTGACGGAAGGCGAGGAAGCGCCGGAGGAAGGCGCCCTCATCGAGCTCGTCAGCAGCAACCACGAGCGTCGACGTGGCGCTCGACGCGGCGGCCTCATCGAGCGGCTCGGAAGCAAACTCGGCGGTGAGGGAATGCTGACCCGCCGCCTCGACGCGGGCGCGCTTGGCGGGCGGCGGGCTCGCGTCGCTGGCTGCAGAAGTGACTCCGGGTGAGCCGTGTACGGCGGTGGCGCCCGGCTCGGTCGGCGGCTGTGGCTGCGGCTCCGGCGTATCCTCCTCCTCGTCCTCCGAGTCGTCGAGAAAGAGGCGGCGCTGTGGCTGCGGCGGCTGCGACGGTGGCGACGGTGGGGGCGCGGAAGACTGCGCTGCGCGGCCAGCAGCGCCGGCTGCAAGGGGCTGTGCCGCGTCCTCTGCCTTTGCCGGCTCCTCCACCGCCCCCACCACGTCGGCCGACGCCGGCTCGACACCGTCGACGTCCATCGCCGTGCCCGCCGCGCAATCGTCGTCCTCTACATCGCTCACCTCCTCCTCCGACGAGTCCTCATGCTCATACTGCAATTTCCGCCATCTCTCCAGCGCCCTCTCCGCCTCGGGAGGCTCCTTCGTCTCCGCCTCCTCCTCCTCCTCCGGATCCTCCTCCTCCAGCTCCGCCTCCGACTCGGAAGAGGCGTCCGACTCCGACGTGGCGTCCGACTGGGACGGCGACTCCTCCACCTGCGCGTCCGCGTCCAGCTCTGAGGCGCCGCTCACCTCCCTCGCCGCGGGAAGAGCTCCATCCGCCGCCTGCTGCGACTGCGACGGCGGCTGCGACGGAGGCGGCACCGCCGTGCCGACCGCCGCGCCGCCCGCCGCGCCGCCCACACCCACCAGTGCGCCGATCGCGGCGCCCCCCGCCACACCGATCGCCGCGCCTGTGTCGACGTTCATCGCCCTGCGGCCGATTCTGAAGAATACGTCTATGCTGGACCCGACGTCTGGCAAAGGCAGAGGGGAAGAGCTGACCAACACGCCCAAAGGCGACGGCGGCGGCAGCAGGAGCGGCGGAGGAGGCGCGGCCTGTTGCGGCGGCGGCGGCAGCAGCGCGGGCGGCGGAGGAGGAGGAGGCGCGGTCTGCGGCGGCGGCGGCGGCGCGGGCGGCGGAGGAGGAGGAGGCGCGGTCTGCGGCGGCGGCGGCGGCGCGGGCAGAGGCGCGGCCTGCTGCGGCGGCGGCAGCGCGGGCGGCGGAGGAGGCAGCGGAGGAGGCGCGGCCTGCGGATAAGGAGGTGGCGCCCGAAGGCCGCCACTCAAGTCTCGCTTTGTCGGGAGCAAGGCTGTTGGGGCAACGCCGTTGAAACGACGGTGGCAGGGCTCGAACGCGTCGGACGTGTATTCATCCATGAATAGTTTCTCTGTGGTCATCTCGAGCACACCGTCCGCAGAGATGTTCTCGGGGCAGCACAGCAACTTGCACGCGGCCCTCATGCCCAAGGCGCGGCCTTTGATCTCCACGAGGGCTATCAGCCCGCCCTCGCCGACGGGCCTGATTGCGCTCCGGAAGACCTTCGATCGATTGTCAGCCAGCGATTGCAGATGCCGCAGGCGATCCGGACAGCTGCGCGTCTCCTCTATCCTAAACCATTTCGCCGTCGCCATCGCCGCGTCATCCACCGTCTCCGCGACTGAACCCACTGCCGTCGACACCGCCGTGGCTGCTTGCGGCTGTGACTCCGCCTCCTCGAGACGCCGCTGCTGCTGCCACGGCGCCGCGGATTTGGCGGTGGCCACCTCGGAGAGAACGGCCGCCTTGCGCTTCAACGGCGTGAGCGGCTCATCTTCCTCGCCATCAACAGCGGCGGCAGTCGGCGCCGCCGCGGCCGGGGTGAGCAGCGAAGAGCGGTGCGATAGCGACGCGTCGACCATCGACACCGTCAGAGATGGGGACTGTGGCGCCGCAGCGCTCCACTCCTCCAGGCCTCTCCCAGCCGCCTCGACCACGCTCTCCGCCGGCAGCAGCACGCTCTCCATCCATATTTCCATCGCGTCGACCTTGCTGCTGTCCGGAACGAGCGACTGCGGCTGCGCCGGAAGCGTGCTAGAGGACAACACCTTTGCCTCCTGCCTCTCGAGCAGCGCGGACGTTGACACCGCCGGTGCCGCCGACGCCCTCGCCGCCAGCGCCTGCGCCCGGCGTCGCTGCTCACGTTTCAGCTGGTTGTCCTGGGCCAACCTCAATTTCATCCGGAGCAGCATGACGAGGAGCTCGCCGGATCGCGTTGTGGCGAGCGCTCTCCAAAGCTCAACAAGGCTCTCTACAGCCGACCACTGGGAAAGCTTCTTTCTTTTTGACCGCAAGCGCGGACGGCCTCGCCCTCGACGGCACCCATCTCAACCTGCAGTACGTCCGCCTGCTCGAGGCGGCGCTGCCAGCCTAGAGATACCTGCCAGCAAACCTGCTTAGAGAGGCGACCGTTAGATCTTAGAGAGGCGACCTTGCTCCTTGGAGCACTTAAATAAATACGAAACGGACACGCCAAACGAGGGAATGGATGGGAGGAGGACAGGGTCCCCACCTGAACGAGCAGGACGGCACGCCGCCACCACACAGGGATTTCACTGGAAGGAAGGTGTGTTACTGGGGAACGGGAGCCTTCCCGCGCGCCGCGGTTTTGACCGCGCAAGATATAAAGGGTGGCCTACGGGCTCTGCCCGCAAGGCGCCCGCGTCGCAGACGCGGTACCATTGACAAATCTGCAATAGACCCCCACACGAACAAATAGCAAAATTCGAATACCGTGCAGAAACCATGATCCATGTGATCTGAGCCGTGGACGGGGGGCAAGCCTTCAGCTGGTGCCAAGACATTCGTAAAATTGAAGCCAAGAACGTACCCCCCTCTGAGTGAGGACAGGAGAGAGAGAGCTTTTGTGGTGTTGGTGTACGCAATAACGGGACAGGGTAGTCGTTCTCTCTAGCTCCCCTTCTAGCTCTTGGCATGAGCAGCGCCCTGTGTCCGACCCCTTTTGCGCAGCAACACCTTAAACTTTCAGGCCCTCCAAATTCGGGTCGGAGCGTAGCGGAGTGGGCCCCGAGTTTGAAAAGGGCGACGGACGCTTGCGTCCTAGCCTCCAACAACGCCTCCCCGGCGCAGAGGGGCCCCCGGAGGGATGCTCAACCGCTCCACGCCACGCCGCTTGCGGCGGTCCTATTCCCAGCTCCGCTGATGATATTACATGTGGCGAGACGTGGTTTTTCTCCCAACAGGCCTGCTGGGCGCCCCGCGTTTTCATGGAGGACCTCGCTGTGCTCCAGCGCGAGCACGCGGCGCTCCGTCACCGCGTGCTGCGGCTGCTCGAGTCGTGCGCTGGCGAGCTTGTGCATGGCGCGCAGCTCTCACCGCACGGGCCGCTGCCAGTCTCGCCGCATCTGCCGCAGCCGCCGAGGGCGCCGCTGCCGCCGCGTGGCCCGATCCCTCCGGCGCCCGATCCGCATGCCGAGCTGCAGCGCGGGCTGCTCGACTTCCTCGTAGTGCGCGGTGCGACGCTCGCATTGCCGGCGAGCGCGGCGGCACTGCTCTCGCTCACTGTCGAGCGTCATCCGGAGCTGTCGAGGTACGAGGTTGGCGCGGGCAACGTGACGCGCGCGCTCTTCGAGCTCCAGAACCTGGTGCCCGCCGCGGTGCGGGTCGAGCAGGGCGAGCTGGCGTTCCTCGACGCCACCGCCCTCTCGGCCTTCCAGGACCGGCTGCTCGGCCGCCCGTCCGCTGGCGCCTCGGCGGGCACCGCGGGCGGCGGGGACAAGGGTGGGCGGAAGCGGACGGCGACGGCCGCGCACGATAGCGAGCTGGCGGCAGTGATGGATCTGGTGGGGACAAAGTCGGCCAAGGAGAAGGAGCGGCAGGAGCAGGCGGCCGAGCTGCGAGCCGCGTCGCTGTAGCCGCTTCACTGTCGCCGGCCTCTCGCGGCACGTCCAGCGACACGTCCAGCGACACGTCCAGCGACACGTCCAGCGACACGTCCAGCGATACGTCCAGCGACACGTCCAGTGACACGTCCAGCGACACGTCCAGCGACACGTCCAGCGATACGTCCAATGCGACAGGCGGACGAGCTGCTCGAGCTGCTTCACAAGCCGACGGCGCGGCAGGCGAGCGAGACGGACCGCTTCCGGACGGCGGGCGGCTCCAAGCTGCAAGAGTTTTGCCGGCGCGCGGCCAGAGGGCGGAGCGGCTGCCCGCCAGAGCGTGCGCCTGTGAGGCGCGGGGGGCGTGCTGGCGAGTAGGCACGGCACCAAGGAGGACTGCGCGCGGCTGAACGGGACGGGGATGCCGTGCGGCCACATCCACTTCCGGCGCATCATCAAGCCCCACACGGACGTCTCGCTCGGCGACTGCTCGTACCTCGACACGTGCCGGCACATGGCGACTTGCCGCTTCATCCACTACGAGGTGGACCACACGGACGCGCAGCGCATGCGCCAGGGCTCGGCCCAGCTCGACCCGTTTGCGCGCACCGCGACCAACCGCGTGGACGACGACCCCTTCTCGCGCCACTACGAGTCTCAGTTTGTCAACTGCGACATCCGCACCTTCCCGATGCAAACGCTGGGCAAGTTCCCGGTCCGGACACGCCGCAGCCCCCGCACGCGCGATCTCTCCGCGCGGGGCACGCGCGCGACACGCCCGCGACGCCTCCGGTAGGTCATCATGGCGGACCCGCCGTGGGACATCCACATGGAGCTCCCTTACGGGACCATGTCCGACGACGAGATGCGCCGGATGAACGTGCAGGTGCTCCCCCGGCGGGCGACCAATAACGCGACCCGCGCCCGAGACACGTCCTCGGCAGTGTCTCGACACGCCGCACCTCCACGACTGCGCGCAGGTGCTGCAGGACGACGGCGTCCTCTTCCTGTGGGTGACTGGGCGGGCGATGGAGCTAGGGCGCGAGTGCCTCGAGATCTGGGGGTACCGCTTCGTGCAGGAGCTGCTCTGGGTCAAGACCAACCAGCTGCAGCGCATCATCCGCACGGGGCGGACCGGCCACTGGATCAACCACTCCAAGGAGCACTGCCTCATCGGCGTCAAGGGCGACCTCGACGACCGGTTCAACCAGAACCTCGACTGCGACGTCATCTGCGCGGAGGTGCGCGAGTTGCGCCCATGGGCCGCGGGAGATGCGCCCATGGAGCGCCTGAGCCATGGCCCGCCCGTGGCCCGCCCGTGACACGCGTGTCGTCTGCTCAGGTGCGCGAGACGTCTCGCAAGCCCGACGAGATGTACGACCTGCTCGAGCGGCTCGCGCCGGGCCAGCGCAAGCTCGAGCTCTTCGGGCGGCCGCACAACGTGCACAAGGGCTGGACCACGCTCGGCAACCAGCTCGGCAAGACGCAGATCGCGGAGCCGTGGCTGAGGCAGCACCTGCTCGACGAGGGCGTCTTCGAGCCGCAAGACCTAGCGCCGATGCCCACGCCGCCCCGCGACCCGCTCGTGCCGCCCTGGGGAGGGCACGACCCGCCCGAGCGGCTGCCAAGGGAGGGCATGCAGTGAGAAAAGAGGACTGCCGCGGCGCGTGCGAGCCCGCGGCCTTCGCCTCGGAACAGTCAATCAGTCACTCGTCTCCCTACTCCCACAAAACGCGCCATAAAATTGCGCAGTGGCAATATTGCCCCCACCCTCAGTGACAGTGTGTCGGTTTGGTGTGGCACGGGACTAGCAATTGCCGATTTTTTTATGCGCGCATGTATTGAACTACGTTTGCAGAGCTGGGACCTCTCAAGCACGTCACACAGCCAAGCATACACCAAAGATTCTCACGACTCACGCGAGCGCAGTCGTCTCTCTCCCTATAAGTTTCTATCTCTCCTCACCAGTTCTTCTCGTCATCGTCCAAGTGGTGGTGGCCAAAGCCGTACATCAGCTGCTCCGTGGACGCGGGCAGCTGGTCGGGGCGGAGGGGTCCGTCGAAGGCCTCGACGCGCCAGCCGTTGTAGTAGCCGCACGCGCAGTGGCCAAGCTCGCAGCGCGACTCGCCATAGAAGCCCGCGGAGGGAAGGCCGCCATTCTCGCACCTGCCGGCGGTGATCGCGCCGAGCTCGAGCCGGAAGGGGCCCTCCTCGCCGTCGGCAAGCAGCACGTACATGTGCGCGACCCCCTCATTGAGCTGGTACAGCCCGCGGTTCCGGAAGGCGGAGAACGGCAGCTTGAAGGTGAACCACTCGCCCAGCAGGCACTCGTGCCCGCCCTCGTCGCCAAAGTCGCCGACGCCGAGCGAGTCGTACCGCTCCCGCGCCTCGGCGTCCGCGAGCAGCGCGTACGCCCGGCTCAGCACCTGGAAGCGCTCCTCGCTCCCTCCGCCGTCGGGGTGCGCCTCCTTCGCCAGCGAGACGTACGCGGCGCGAACCTCCTCGGCACTCGCGTCGGGGTCGACGCCGAGGACGGCGTAGGGGCCTCCCGCCGCCGCCGCCCGCCCGCCCGCCGCCGCTGCCGGGCGCGGCCCCGCCGGCAGCGGCGCGCGGAACGTCCAGTGCGAGTCCGAGGCCGACGCCTCGGCCTGCAGCACGAGCTCGTACGGCCGCCCATCGGTGCGCAGGGTCACCTCGAGCCAGTGGTGCTGCGACAAGTCCCACAGCCAGCGGGCGGAGGAGCCCATCCCGCACGCGCCCCCGCCGAGCCGGCTCGAGGCCGCGTCCGCCGCCCGCGCCCCCTCGAGCAGCCTCCTCGCCCCGCCACTCGAGCGCGCATGCATGCCACTCAGCAGCAGCGTGCCGTGCTCCGTCTGGTGGAGCGTGGCGGTGGAGTGGCTGAGCGCCTCCTCGTCTGGCAGCGGATACCACTGCGGCAGCCCGCGCGCGCCCGCGACGAAGATGGGCAGGTCGTCGTCGCCGCGCAGGAACTCGACCCCGTGAGAGAGCAGGTTCTTGCCGTACCGCTGCAGCAGCACCGGCAGCTCGAACGAGTCGGAGAGCCGCTGGATGACGCCGCCGACGGAGCCCGTCTGCAGCGCCTTGGAGCACCGCGCGGCGATGCCGTCGTCGTCGCGCGGGCGGAGCGCCGCCGAGACGGTCGGCGGAGGCTCTGCGAGCGGCGGCGGCGGCGGAGGCGGCGGCGGAGGGTGGGAGGCCGCAGCGCCCTCAGACTCCTCGTCAGGAGAGCGCTGCGTGGACAGCGGGCGGCTGCGTATGCGGAGGGGAGGCGAGCGGAGCCGGCGGGCGACGATTCGCATTGCACAGACGACAGACGCGTCGCGACAGCCCACGCGACCGGAGCCTGGAACGAGCGCATGCGTGGAAGAAAGAATTTTACGCAAAACGGACAACACTGGGCACGGGACTGGCGCGCACTGGCACTAACACAGGTACAAGCCGCCGAAGAAAGAATCTGATGCGCGGCCTCCTTTGGTTTCTCTCTCTTTTCTTCTTTTAAGCTCGGAGCTCGACTTTCCCGTTAGCAGTTACACTGCGAGGCCGCGCGGGAAGCCGCAACGCGTGTGTCCGTGTGCGCGTGCCTGCAGCGTGCGACGTGTGGGGAGGGGTGTTTTATGATCATTTGACATTGGGCTCACTTCCACACCTCGTTCCGACCGACAAGTTCCGGCACGCCGGGCCGCACCGCCTGGGTATACAAAATGCGCCTGCGGGCGGACCCTTACAGATCACAGATAACACCTCGTGTTAGGCCATGATCTCAGCAGAGCTTCGTGATGGGACAGCCGCTTTCGTCGTGGCCGGACGAGCTCGAGTCGAAAACAAGGAGGGCAGGCTTACCGCAGGAGAAAATTCTTGCGCAGCCGGCGCAGCCGCCAACGCCCTCCCACCTGTTCGTGGCTGGGACTTGGCGAAAGCCGATGGCGATCGGTGGCCAAAAGGGGGTGGTCCAGAATTCTACCTCGTCTGTGGAATCGGTCGGGTGAGTCACAGTCAGCAAAAAGCACCACCATGTCATGCACCAGCAACCTGCCAGTTCGCCAGCTGGTATTGTGTCAACGGCTGGCGCATCTGGCTCCCGCTCCATCGTGCCTGCCTTAGGAGCGGTAGCGGGTGCCATTGGATGGCCCGGCTTGTTGCCACCTGCAACGCCGCTCCGAATGCGACCACTCTCCAGGACGACACGGATCTCAGCAGCAAGCTGCTTCACGCCGCTGTCAAAGGCGCTCGAGTCATCGGAGCTCAAATCAATGTAGAGCTTGCCGCCGAGCTTGCCTCCGACGGTGCCGGCCCAGTCGCTCGGGTTGCGGCAGCGTTTCTCCATAACGACCGGGATCATTGCCTCGACGCCCTTGCGGCGCAGGCTATAGTCAAACTCAAACTTGCAGTTGTCATTGTGCCCATTGGCCCCCTTCCCCCACGCCTTCTCGAGATAGCGGTCCGTGATGAAGCACACCACCGCCCCTGAGCGTTCGATTCCATCCACCATCTTGTCGTTTATGTCTCCGCGCATGCACTCCTCGTCAAACCATGGCCGAATGCCCTCGGCCTTGAGGGCGGCACAGAGTTTCCCTACGCGGGCATGGTTGGAACGTCCTTCCTCGTCTTCGCCCCAGTCGTGGGTAAGGAAGCAGTCGTACTGCATAGGCGCGCCCTGCCCGCTGTAGTCCGCCGCCTTTCTACAGAGGTGAGAGGTGGAGAAATGGCCACGTCGACTCGTTGGTGAGTGAGCTGTTTTCCCCCTGCGCGCTGGCCTTCTAGGCCTGCGGGTAGTCTCTCCCCATCCCCAGGGCCTCTAGGGCTCGCACCTCAAGAAGAGAGTTTCTAAAAATCTCTCTCGCACCTCACTCAACCTCGCTGCCGAGCCCAAATCACTCACTGTGTGTGCCACATTTCTTGTTGGCTTCTAAAAATCTCTCTCTCTCTCCCTCAACCTCTCACAGACCAGCGCACAGCGCCATAGGACATATTTCCTTCTTGAGCACTTGAGCACTGGATAGGGTCGATCGATTCCGCATGGTACGCGTACGGGGACCCCTCGATCGTCTCGCCCTCCCCTGAGGCTGAGCCCTCCCTCACTGGTGTGTTCATTGGGGGGAATATATTTCCTTCTCAATAACAAGGGTCAAGGCTGTGAAATGGGCGTGAATGTCCCAGAAATTTCATCGCCTGCCCCTGCGGCGCGCCAGAGGCAACCAACCAACCTATCAAGGTGTTTGGGCCAAGCATTTCACGCCGCCCCTAGGCCGCCCCCTGGTCACAGGTATCACGGGTGACCGAGAGATGGGTCTCCTTCGTGGTGTGAGTACCTCGGCACCTGGTCTGGCACACGCACTGCCTGGTCCCGGCGCGAGTGCAACGAGACCCGCCGCCTCCAAACCCGGCTCTGCGGCCGCGCAGCCGCATGCATCAGGAGCCGGCGGAACCTTGCCAGAATGTGGCCGCAGCAAGAGCCTCCGGCGGGCCTCCGGCGGACGCCTAGCGGCGTGGCGCTGCGCGCCGGCCTGCGGCCTCTGAAGAAGTGTCACACTGTGTCACCTCGCCGCGAAGTGTGTCACCATAAGCATAACCGCTTTCACGCTTGGGTGTGCTACAAAAGTGGGGACGCGCCTGGCGGCGCGCCCCCAAAAATGTTTGGGGGCCTGTGATTGGGCGAAAGAAAGAAAGAAAGAAAAAACCCAAGGGAGGGATGGGAGGACGGCACGCCGCCACCACCACACAGGGATTTTAAGGAGAGGAGTGTGGTGCTAGTCGTCGCCCACCCTAACCCTTGGTCGTCTGCCTCTTTCTATCTCCCTTCGCAGTCCCTCGCGCCGATTCTCGCTGCAACCTTCATGCGTCACATGCCACCTCGCGGTCGTCCCACTCTCGTCGTTCTCCCTCCTGTCGCTTCCTCCTCTGTCGCGTCGCTCTCGTCTGCCACTCTGCCTCGTCCTGCGACGCCGCCGCCGCCTGCCGATCCCTTGCTCTCGCGGCTTCTCCCGCCTTTCGGCGCAACTCTGCCCTGCTGGCGGCATATTTTGGCCCCTCGAGTTTATCGAGCTCTCCTCGCGCAAGGACGACTCTTCTGACGCCCACTGCGATCATCTGCCGCCAAGTCATATCGTTGCTCAGCCAGCTCAGGCACTCGGTGCTCGAATACTTGCACCGCTTGGCGCGAACCTGTACAATGTCGGACTCCGACGAGCCGGACTGGGTCGAGGCGCAGAGCTCCGCGCAGAAAGCCGCGGCCAAGAGCCGCCTCTCCTCCTCCTCCAGCCTCAACCTCGACGGCTCCGACGATGATGAGGATGCCGGCCAGAAGGATGCGCCGGCGGCCATCAAGCCGGCCAAGGGCGGCGCCGGCGGCAAGTCTCGCGCGCCCAAGACGCCGGCGTCGGCGCTGCCGCTCTCGCTCGCGCCGAGGGCGCGCCCCATCGCCGCCGGCCCCTCTCCTGCCCTCGCCCGTCTCCGCTTGAGCGCCGCCGCGGCCGTTCGTCGCAGGTGCGCCGGGACGTTCTGCTGCTCGAGGCGCCAGACGGCGAGCTGGACCTCTCGGGCGACTTTGGCTGCATCGGCCGCCTCCACGTCAACGCCTCGCGGAGAACGACGGACGGCGCGGCGGCGGGCAGCAGCGCGGACGGCGGCGGCGGCAGCGGACGGCGCGACCGCGCGGCGCTCACGCTCGACCTCAAGGGCCGGGTGTACGAGGGCGACATTGTGCCGAGCAACTCGTCCCTCTGCCTGGTCTCGCTCGACGGCAGCCGCGCGCGCGTCGAGGCCGTCTTCAGCGACTTTGTGCAGCTCTCCGCGCCGCACGTCTCCATCTTTGAGATGGAGCAGGTGCAGGACGGCGAGCTGGGCGCGCACTTCTTCGACGACGTCGACGACGCGAACTCGGTCCTCGACTCGGACGCCGAAGAGGAGATGGCGCCGCTCAAGGAGCGGCGCGGCGGCGGCAAGATGGCCGCGTCCAAAAAGGGCAAGGGCGCGGCGGCAGACGGACGGAGGGGCCGCCGACCGCTCCGCGCTGTGCTGACGGGTGGGCCTTGCTCCTTCTAGGCGGCAGCAAGGCGTCGGCCGGCTCGAAGCGCAAACCGTCGGGCGGCAAGGCGGGCGCCAAGCGCGCCAAGAAGTGAGGCGTGCCGACGCGGTGCGCGTTTTTGCTCTCCACTCTGTTCATGAAGACGTCTCGCCCTCCAGCCCCCGCCCTGTGCCGCTACATGTAGTAGCTGTGAGAAAGGAGAGTTGAGGTATGAGGACACGGGACTGTGCTGCATGCTGTACGGTACGTGTACGTACGAACCGACGAGACGTACCGGGGTGGCTGCGTACTGCCCGCGGGGGCGCAAAAAACCATACCACATCCTCATCCTACCAACCACACGACGGATTCGCTACTCTCGGGCTTAGCTGGTGGCGGGTTCGCACACTTGGTCGTCGAGACCGGGCCGTCTCCCCCACCGCCCTGGGCCTCCACCGGGTAGGCGATCCACACCCGCCGGCCCTGCTCACAGCCTCTTGCGCGTGGCCGGGTCGTACCCGAGCGCCTCGGCGCACTTGCCCAGCCGCTCCAGCGCCTCGAAACGGACTGACGGCGTGTACAGCCGCTGCCCCTCCTTGACGGGTAGCGGCTGGCCCACCGCCTTCAGATAGGCAAACACGCCGCCCAGCCCTTCTGTGTTGCCGATCCGCTTGTCCATGCAGTACCCAACCGTCAGCGTGTACACCTTCCCCTCGCGATCGAAGAGGAGACTCTGCGCCTGCGGCGGCGACCTCACCACCTTGTGCGTTGCCGCGATCGCGCGGCCTCCAAAGTGGAGCGTGCCCGTGTGCGTCGCCTCCGCACGCGAGAAGAACCAGACGCGGTTCGGCTCTAGCGGGTCAACTGCAAACCAGGACTTGTCCCGCAGGTCCGGGAAGGCCTCCTTCAGCTTGAATGAGCCGAAGGCGCGGACAAACTCGGCGCGCGAGAGCGGGCCGACGATGGGAGCAACGAACTGGAAGTCGTCCGAGAGAAGCGCAGCCGGGTCGGCTCCCGCTTTGGTGCCAAACTCGGCGGCCAGTACACGCTTCGCCTTGGCAATGAGCTCCTCCGGACCGATGGGAAACGTAGATGTGGCGAGCGTCGCCGCCGAGTCGAGCGCTTCGTAGCCGCCCTCGTCGCTGAAGACGGGCGATGTCGCGTACCGCTGCTCGTGCCAGCCGAGCTTCTTGCGGCCAGTGTTCTTGCCAGAGCCGGTGGCGACGTCGATCAGATCGACAGCAAATAGCAGCGCGCCGCGTATCGCAGAGTGGATGAGGTCGATGGTCAGGAGAAGGCTGGCGGTGCAGAGGTTGCCGAGAGCGGCGAGAGGCTGCATATGTGTATTATGTACAATTCGATCGAGTGCGAGGAGGGAGCAGAGGCGTAGAAGCGGATGCTAGAGCCTGGAAGCGGACGCTGGATGCTGGCACTACTCGTACCTGGAATGTTCGAACTGACCAGAAAGAAAGGAAGACCGCGTCTAGCAAAAAAGAAAGTGCAGGTGAGCGACAGCTACACAAACTCTCCAAGCCCGGCGGCTCTCGCTGGTCCGCTCGCCCACGCGCCGCGATGGAGGTCGAACAGGACAACCGCAGGAGCGGCGGTGGCGGCCCGGACCGCGCCGCTCAGATGCAGGCGCAGTTCGAGGCCCTCGTGGCGCAGGGCGCCGCAGCAATGGCAGCGGAGCACGGCTACATAAGGAGCGACCCGGTGACGGGAGTGCAGCTTTCACCAGCGGATGAGGCCACGCTGCACAGGCTCCTCCTCGAGCGGCTCTACGCGAAACGGCTGCGCGACTTTGACGTCGCCGACGCGCTGCGCGCACAACTTCGCGACGCCGGCGTCTCTGTCAATGACGCAGAAAGCACCTACTCGATACGGCCACGCACGTCGGGCCAGCCGAACCACCACGGCTACACTCGCGTCGACGATGGCAGCATCGTCCTCTCGCCGGCCGACCAGGCGACGCTCGACGGCATGCTGCTCGAGCGGCTGCTCGCCAAGCGGGCGCGCGAGTTTGCAAAGGCGGACGAGCTGCGCCAAAAGCTGCGCTCGGTGGTCCTCCGCCGGGCCGCAAACCCCCGCGCGCCCCTTCCATCCACACTCTGGTGCCGGCCCGTCCGCAGGCGGGCGTGATCATCGACGATGGCGCGAACACCTACCGCGTCGTCCCTCCCGAGCCGCCCAAGCCTCCTCAGCCGGCGCGACCGACCCACCACGGCTACACTCGCGTCGACGACGGCAGCGTGGTGCTCTCGCCCGCCGACCAGGCGACCCTGGACGGCATGCTGCTCGATCGGGTGCTTGCGAAGCGAGAGCGCGCTTGGGAGCGCTCCGACGAGCTGCGTCAGAAGCTGCGCGAGGCGGGCGTGTCGGTCAACGACGGCGAAAGCACCTACAGCCTCAAGCCACCGGCGCCGCCGAAGCCGCCCAAGCCGCCCCCGCCGACCGAGCACGACTATGCGCGCGAGGAGGCGGACGGCGGCGCGGCGTGGGCCTCGCTCCCGGCTGAGCACCGCAGCGCAATCGACGGGCTGCTGTTGGCGCGGCTGCAGGCGAAGAAGAGCCGGCAGTGGGAGGCGGCCGACGCGATGCGGTCGCAGCTGAACGAGCTCGGGGTCTACGTCGATGACGGCCGAAAGGTGTGGCAGCTGCTGCTCGGCAAAGGGAGGAGTTCGCCGGGTCAGCGGTTCACCCGGCCCGGCTGCGCGGTAGGTGTACAAGCTGCTCGGCAAGGAGGAGCTGTCCGACGCGTACACCCGCGACCCCGCCGACGACTCCGGCGTCGTGCTCAACGCGACGGACGAGGCGACGCTGGTCGGCCGCCTCTCCGCCCGCCGGCAGGCGCAGCGCTCGCGCGACTACGCCGGCGCTGACGCCATCCGTGACGAGCCGCAGCACCCTACCAAACCCCGGTACCCAACTCGAATTCAATACCATAGGCGCCGACGCCATCCGTGACGAGCTGCGCGCCGTCGCGCGCCAAGGGGGCTGCAGCATAGTCTTCGACGATCGGAAGCACACGTACCGCTTCACGACCCTCGCCGGCGCGCCCGGAGGCAAGCGGTCTCGCGACGAGGAGGGCGGCGCGGCGGAGCGATCCCGGCTCGACAGAGAACTGGCCGACCACCGCGGTGGCGGCGGCGGCGGCGGTGGCGGCGGCGGCGGCGGCGGAAGCGATGGGGTGGGAGGGAGCGGGGGCCACGGGTACCGGCGGTCCGAGGAGGCCGGGCAGCGGGAGATCGACGAGGAGGAGCAGGCGCAGATCGACGCGCTGCTCCTCGAGCGGGTGCAGGCCAAGCGGGTGCGCGACTTTGCGCGCGCCGACGACCTCCGCGACCGGCTGCGCGAGCACGACTGCTTCGTGGACGACCGCGCAAACACGTACGTGTGCCGCATCCTGGCGAAGCGGCGCCGCTCGAGCGACCGCGCGAGCGAGGGCAGCGAGGCGAGGCCACCCGCGCTCTCTACCCCGCCGCCGCCGCCGCCGCCGCCGCGCTTTGTGCGGGACCCGAACGACGGGGGAGGCGCGGAGTCCTTGACGGCGGAGCAGGAGGAGCGCCTGCAGGAGCGGCTGGTTGCGCAGCGCGAGGCGCAGGCCGCGCGCGACTTTGCGATTGCCGACGCGATCCGCGATGTGTGTTTGTTCGCGCCACAGCCGAGAGTCTAGCCGCGGCTGCAGAGACGAGGAGGCCGCGGTGTCCCCGCCGGACCCCGCCCCGCCCCGCCCCGCCGCAGGAGCTGCGGCGCGAGATGGGCATCGTCCTCAACTCGCGCACGAGCTCCTACCGCATCCTCCCGCCGCCGCAGCCGTCCGCCGGAGCCGCCACCAGTCGCTTGTTTGAGCCGTCGGCCGGCTGGTCCTCCTCCCGAGCAGAGGCGCCAGCGCCAGCGGGCGGAGGGGAAGCCTTGGCCCCCGCGAGCGCCGCAGAAGTGGTGGACGCCGCCCCGCCTGCGCCTGCAGCCTCATTTGTGACTCCGGGCGCGGTGGGCTACTCGGACGAAGAGCTTCTCGCGGTCCGCGCCCATCAGCGAAGCGGACACGCTGCCACACGCCCCTTCTGACCCCTTGGCCTTGCTGTGTAGGGCGTCGACTTGCCCGAGGAGACGCGACACGACTGAAGGGCTATTTCCCATTCTTTTGGGGGCGAATGGCGGCGCTTTGTGGGCGGTTGACGTCGAATGGCGAATTGTGATTGGCATATGTTTGTATTCCGGGCGGGGAGACAGAGCGAGAGTCGAGAGAGGAGAACTAAGGAGCCCGCGCGCAGTGTGCTTGCCGAGGTGCGGAGGTGGAGACAGCGCAGTGTGTAGACTAGTGTTCACGTAAAAGCACAATCCCGGGCCCCAGCGCAGCAGCGGGGCCCGAAATCGCGCACAGAAAGAGAAACACCAGTCAGACTCAGAGAGCGAGAGCGCGGTCAGCGCGACAAAAATCAAAATGCGCAAAATGTCCAATGATTGAAATATTGAGATGCAAAACACGGGGGGTCCCAGGGTGAGGGAAGGCGAGCAAAGTGCAGTGTTACTCGCAAAACTCAAAAGCAGACAATTCTCTTATATCAAGTCATAGGACCCCTCGGGCGGACGGGTAGCGTTCCTGAACCAAAAGTTAACAGCGACGTTGAGTTCGCCTTGCGCAGCGCAGCGCGAGTGGACCTCGTGGTGCCAAAAGGCGGGCAGGTAGAGCGTCTCTCCGGGCCGGAGCGTGCAGCGGCGCGGCGACGCGCGCTGCAGCGCCGGATGGGCGCGCAAGTCGGGCTGCGACACGTTGACGGACGAGGCAAAGACTACGCGCGCGCCGGCGTCCGCCTCGCTGACGGGCAGCCGCTCAAAGGTGTTTGGCCAGGCATAGCGGAGCGTGCCCTTGGCGCGCGGCGTGTAGTAGAGGTGGGGCAAGTCGGAGGGCGGGAAGAGGACGAGCTCCTTGGTGCCAGACACCTGAGCGAGAAGGTTCTCGTACTCGTCGTAGTGGAGGGGCGACGTCGTCGCGCCTTTGCCCAGCCAGAGGTTGGCGAGCAGCGGCCTGAGGTACAGCGCCTGCGGCGGCACCGGCGCCATCGCGCGCACAGGCGCGCCGAGGTACTGGTGCAGCGCGTTGTACTCGACGTAGAAGGACTCCGGCGTCGGCTCCTCGAGCAGGCGCAGGTAGTCGCCCAGCCGCATGAAAGTCTCGGGCGGCCGCACGAGCACCTCCCTGCCGGCTGGCAGCCCCCAGCGGTGCCCCGCCTCGGGCCCGTCGTACCTGCCCGTGGGCGAGACGCCGACCTTGACAGTGGAGTCGCCGCACGCCGCGCGCAGCGCACTCGCCCCCCACCGGCTCGCCGGCGCAAAGCCCGTGGCCTGCTGCAGGCCGACGAGCACAACAGGCTCGCCCGCCTCCACCACGGCTCGCATCTCCGCCTCGGACGAGGGCGCTCTCTTCCGAGCGATCTCCGGCGCGCCCGCCAACCATGAGGGCGGCTCCCACCCCGCCGTCGCCGCCGCGGCCGGAGCGCTGCGAGAAGCAGATGATGGCGGCGGCGGCGGCCCGAGCGAACGCACAACCTCGCTCCACCCCTCCACCTCGCGCCGCGTCCGGTCGATGAAGGCGAGCTGCGCGGCGCGCCACCGGCGGCGCTCCGCCAGGCGCTTGGCGCCCTCCTCGTCGGCCTGCGCGCCGCCGCCGCTTGCCTCGCTCCTCGGCCGCTCACTCAGCGCCCCGTCGAGCGCAGCCGCCGTCCGAAGCAGCGCCTCCGCCTCGCGCACGTGCAGCGCGGCCGCATGCACGGCGCCAAAGTTGGAGAGGCGCGACGTGCCGAGGAGCAGGCGGCCGAGGCCGTCGTACGCCTCCACCAGCCCCGGCTGCAGCGCGAGCGCGCGCTCATAGTGCGACTGCGCCGCGGCGAGGCGCCCCTCCCACCCCGAGGCAAGCGCGCCGCCGCTTCCCTCTGCCGCCGCTTCGCCGAGGGCGTGCAACGCCTCCTCCGTCTCGGCGGCGCGCCTGTGCGCCGCCGCCGCTGCGGAGGAGGCGTCCGGCGCACCGTCCGGGGACCCGTCACCGGCGGCGGCGGCGAAGGCGCTCGCTGCGCCGCGCAAGAAGCCGGCGGCGAGGCGGACGTCGGCTTGCTCGTGGTGCGCTGCGAGTGCGCTGAGCGCCTCGCCGACGGTAGCATGATCGCGCACGCCGCCGAGCGAGAGCGCGATTGCGTAATGGCGCGCCGTGCCCTCAAAGTCGCCCGCCAGACCCGTGGCATGCGCCAGCTCGCGGGCAAAGTGCGGCCGCCACGCGGCCTCGGCCAGCGCAAAGCCGCGCTCCAGGGCCGCGGCCGCCTCTCGCGGCTGGCCAGCCAAGAGGTGGACCTTGGCCTGCGCAAAGAGCAGGTCCTGCTCGAACTCGGCCGACTCGGGCTGCAGCGAATGCGCCTCGTGATAACTCCGCGCCGCAGCCTCCCATCGGCCACCCATCCGGTGCAGCCTGCCAATCGCGTGCTTGGCATCCGCAACGTCCGCCGGCTCGACAGCCACGCACTCGCCGCGCTGGTACTGCACGATCGCTTCCTGTTCGCTGCGGTCGAGCATCAGGCAGCAGTGCCCTGCGAGGAGGGCACAGTGCGGAGAGTCTGGGTGCGTCTCACGCAGCCGCTCCAGCACATCGCGAGCCGCAGCCCGCTCATTGCGCCGAAGGTGGGCGAGCCCCCGAGCGTGCATGTCACGCGGGCTCTCGTGCATCGAGGCAGCGAGGATCGTCGGCAGAAGCGCACAGAAGCAGCAGAGCTGAACGAACATGCGGACCATCACCGACCTCATGCCAGACCTCATGCTGCAACCCGCGAGCAGGGAAAAAGAATTTGAAAACGATTTTACAAAACTCCCGTCCTCCCACCCCCACCCCTTCCTGTTGCATGTGTTCTTTCTTTCTTTTACACTAGGCACGGGACTGGCGCGCACTGGCACTAACACAGGTACACCAAGGAAAAAGAAGATGACCCCTCGCCGAGATGCCTCTCTATTTATTTATTACCCCACGAGCCATGACCCCGGATACTCGTAGCCGCGCCGAATGCCCGACCCGGACCCCCCCCCGCCCCCCCCTCGGGCGCGCCTCGCCCTCGCAAAGATTGCGGGGTCGTTGCCGACGCGGGCGGCGACCCTCCTTTTAGTTTTACCCATCTACTAGTCTCACCGATGTGACAACAGTGGTTTGCTAAAATTCTCTCCCGATGTGAATCTATTTGAATACTCTTCTTCGGCTCTATTAGATCGACTTGCGGGTGTCCTCGAGGTTGAGTGCCGCCTGGGTCTCACGCATGCGCCGGACCACCTCGAACGCCATCGAGGTCCACCCACGCATGATGTCCTCGTCGCCCACGCCGTCCGCGCTCCCAATGCGCGGGCGCTGGCACAGGCGGTCCCAGCCGTGCATGGATCGCGTCGCCAGCCCAAAGGAGGATCGGCCGAACCAGCCAACGTAGCGCGCGTGCGACGCCTCAAAAGCAGCACGCATGGTAGCCCCTGCGTCATTCCTGCGGGTGGCAATCACTCTGCGTCAGCGCCCACTCGACGGCAGGTCAAGACGCAGCCGCATTGCTGCCGGCACTCCGGGTTCCCGACGAGCAGCTCATAGTACTTTGCGTGCCTATGGTGTGGGCAGGGCGAGCCGGAGGTGTGGAACCTTCTGCAGCGCGACAACGTGGGACAGCCCAGCGCCGCGCATGTTGATTCCGCGCCGGCTCCAGAGGGCTCCCATCGCAGCCGATTGGTCAGCCTAGTCGAACGCCAAGGGTGCACGACGCGGGAACGCTAGGAAGTGCTATGACCTAGGTGTGTGAGGTAGCAAGCTGCGTGCCAGCACGGCGTCCGGCAGCCCGTGGATGCCGGTGCTTGCTTCAGCCACGAGAAGGTCACGCAGCAGCACGTCGCCCCCATCACCAGAGGTGCGCTCCGCGGTGCCCTTCGTGCTGCCGCGGCGCAGTTCGGCAAGCGCCGTACTCTTTGCAATCTTGTCAGCATTGGAGTGGATCTCTGACACCCCCCCGGCCAGTGCGGGGCCTGAAATCAGCCTTGGCAACACATGATTAGCATAATGGCGGCATGCCGCGACGTACCGGCCGACCATGATGTCATCTTTACCAGCTAGGGCCGCCGAGTACAATGCCTGCGAATGCGAGAGCACGGACTCGTCGCTGGCCGCCGCGTCGTACCCATCGCTGCGTCGAGCAGGCGGGCTGCGACGGAGCGGTCGGGATCCGAGGGCCGACAGTGCGATCAGCAAGGCGAGCACCAGCGTGGCCGCCAGGGAGGTGGCCGCCAGTGGAGTTGGCCGACAGGGTGGCGGCAAAGTCAACGAGGGTAGCGACGCAGAACGACCTCGCGCTGCCGGCGTCGATGTGGGCTCTCGTATCTGGTCGATACAGCCAGTAGGCACGAGAAGGAACAGGTCGCAAAAGTCGCGCAGCATCGTGTAATCGTCCTCCGTGATCGGGCGGGGACGGGTATTTCTTTTATCTTCATTCTTTGCTGCCAAAGCAAGGCACACAGCTGTGGTGTGGGCCGGGAAGCCGTGCTAAATAAAGTCTAAAGATGGCAGGGCCTCCGAATCATGGCTCTCGGCGGGCGCTTGCTCTTGAGTGATTGCCGCCCTTGTGGCAGACACACGGGGCGACAGGACACGATCGCTCGGCGTTAGTTACTTATTGCGTCCGAAGTCGGGGGATTGTGTGGGGCGGCGGACGGCACGCGCCGAGACTGTTCAGTCTCGGCGCGCTCAAGGCCTTGCGCGCCTCGACGTGCAGCCATGTGCTGGAATGCGCCGGTGAGCATGGTCTTTGGCCTGGTCGGCCTGGCGTGCGCGGCGTTTCTCCTCTACGTGGGTCTCAAGGCCGACAAGGACCCCTCGTCGACTCGCTGGGGGCCCGACGCCAAGTGGCACGCTTTGTGGGTTGCCAACATAGCGTGCGTTGAGCTGTCCGAGTTTGTAATCTGGCTCAACGTCCTCCCTTTCTTCGACGAGCAGGGCATCCACCCTCCGAATGGCGGTGTCTGCCCCACCTGGAACAAGATTGGCACATTCGGCGTCTACTTTTTTGGCTTTGCAAACTGGAGCTGGCTCATCGGAGTCTGGTGTTACAAGACGTGTGAAGGCACCGAGCGAAAAAAGGCGTACTACGTCTACTCCGGCTTCTCCATCCTCGTCTCTGTCTTTTGGTGGTGCGCGACCTGCGATCTCTCTTGCACTACCAATCTAGCGCACGGGGCCCTCACCCACCACCCACCCTCACCTTGTGTCAGGGCGGCCATCCTAGCTGGCGAGATCTTTGACATTGGTGTGGGGTTCGTGATGCAGGCTGCCGGTGGCCGGCAGCCCGTCTTCATCTCAGTCACCGACTCAACGACCTACGTCGGCCCGTTGGCAAACCAGGGCAGCATCGCAGAAGACCTCGGCGCAATGAAAGTTCAAACCTGCAGCTTCAATGAGGTGGGCACGTACTCGCACCTCCACTGGCGATTCACCGTGGCCGATGTACCATGGATGCCCTCTATGGGCTGGACCTTCTTTGCGACGATGTTCTTCCCTTTCTTCTTCTACCGCCCGCTCCATCGCGCGTTGGCCATCCTGTTTTGGGGCGCCGTCACCTACATCACCCCCATCCTCCTGCTGCCGGTCGAGGAGACCATGTCAATCTTCTGATGGCTCGGGTGGATGCTCACTACGGTAGCCCACGCCGCAGCCACTGGGTCTAACAACCCCCGCTCCTCGTCGCAGGTTCGGCTTTGAGATCATCTTCATTGCCGAACCCTTCTATGTCGCTCTGCTGTGTCCGAGCCGCAAAAACATCAGCGCCACCCGCGAGGAGTCGCAGAAGCTGTCGCAAGTGAGGGCATCGGACGCCGCCGAGCAGCTCTAAGCTACTGCCTGTCTGCCAACGTACCAACCTGCGAATTGCTCCACGCGGCATATGGTGGGGCCCGAGCCAAATCGGGGCGTCGCACAGAGCGGCCCCAGGCTCGCGTGCTCCGGAGGAAGCCGCGTGAGGATTTTCTGCAACACAGGTTCAAGGGTCTTACATACACACAACAACATGACATGTACATGTACATGCACAAGCATACACATACAGAGAGAAAAGGAGGAGAGGAGAGAGTGAATAAACAGATGAGGTAATGATCAAGACACCAAGTCCTCTCAAAAAAAACCTCTACGGTATATGCGCGCGCGGGCGTCCAGTGTACATCATCATGGATCCACTGTCCACAGTCGACTCAATCACTGCTGCTATCGTCATCGTGCTGCGCTACCGTCTCAAAACGCGCGCCGGCCACACGCCGCTCGCGCGGCCTCCGGGCTCCCAACTTGTTTTTCGGCACCGGCCTCGGCTTTCCTCGAACCGACACATGTGCCGCGCCGCTCCTCCCTCTCGACTCGTCCCTGCGCGTCGCCGCCGTCTCGCGCCGCTCGCTCGCTGTGACGCGCAGGACCACCGCGCCGCTCAGCTTGGAGACGGAGCGCAGCGGCTCAAAGGGGCCGCTCAGATGGCTGCCCAAAGCGATGTCGAGGTCGTCGGGATGCGCCGCCTGCGCCAGAGGGGCAGACGCCGTTTGGGAGTGCGAAGGCCATGCTGCACGAACGCGCGGCGAGACGTGGCCGGGGGCGGGCGGCGGACGCGCCTCGAGCCGGCCTAGCATCCGCCCGCGCTCGAGCAAAAAGGCGCGGAGCCCGCTGAGCGAAACGCGCGCCTGAGAGGGAGCAGGGAGAGAGCACACGCGTCGGGCGCGCAGCCGGAGGCGTGGCCGCGGCCACACGGGGGCTCGCACCGCCGGCGGGAGCTGCAGCGCGACGCCCTCCATGCCATACCCGCCAAACTCGACCCTGACGTAGGGCCCGCCTGGCCACGCCGCGCGGGTAACAGGCGTGAGAGGGGGGAGAGAGAAGGGCTGCAGGCGAGGGCTCGGTGCGCGCCTTCGGCCCCCAGCGACAGCGCCGAGTCGACGGATTGTTCGGCGTGGAGAGAATCTGGCGCGACGCGGCCACCAGCCTCGCGCCAGTCGCCGCCGTACTCGTCATAGGCGTCCAGAGCCTCGATCTCCTCCTCCGTGAAGGCCCCTGCGTACGCGCCGCCCAAGTCACCCCGCTGGCTGCGCAGCCGCCGCCAGCGCTTGCGCCGCCGCCGCTTGCGCCGGTCGCTGTCGTCGTCTGCGTCGCAAGCCGACAAAACGAATCGGACTAGGCAACATGCGAGCCCGGCGCAGAGGAGGAGGGAGGCGAAGCCGACGCCGAAGAGCTGCGCGTCGGAGAGATTCGCAAGCCTCTCCAGCTTGGGCTCCGGGTAGGCTGGGAAGTCGAAGGGAAGGCCGACGGGGTCGAGCGAGAGGAAGCCGCCGCCCGGAGCCAGCTCGGGCGGCGGCAGAGCGAAGGGCGGCGGCGCCTAGGCCGAGAGGGAGGACGCGGTCAGAGCGAGCCGCTGTGCTAGCAGAGAGCCGTCCAGCTCCTGGGCTCACCGCCGCTGGCCCTGACAGCTCTGCTCCGGGCGATGGCAGCGGCGGCGGCGGTGGCCGCGGCGGCGGCAGAGGAGGCGGCAGTGGCGGCAATGGCGGCGGGGCGCGAGGCTGCCAATATGAGGCGCGACCGCTGTGCGTCGCGACGATAAAGGGCGGGCGTGGCGAGGGCGGCGGTGGCAGACCAAGAGGCGGAGGCAGAGGCGCCGCCACCGGACGAGGCGGCGGCGGCGGCGGCGGCGGCGGCGGCGGCGGCGGCGGCGGCGGCGGAGAGCCGGCAGTGGCATTGACGCGCAGAGTGGGGCTTGCGATTGCGGGCGTCCGCTCGGTCGCAGCAGGCGCCGGGAGGACGGCTCCGGGATGCCACGGGGTGAAGGAGACGTACCGCAGCCCGAGCTCCGCAGGGCCGCGGAACTTAGAGGGCGTATCGTTGGGTCGAAGGATGACCTGCCCAGCGCAGGGGGCTCCGTCACGAAGGCTTGCGGTGGCGCTGCAGTACCGGCACTCGGGCTCTTGGGAGGCGGAGGAGGGGAGGGGGAGGGGGAGCGTCGCGCCTTGATCGACATTGGCTCCCACGGCACGTCCACCCCGGCCGTGCCTCGGACGGAGTGGACGAGCTGGTTGTCAACCACCTGAGAGGAGGGGGAGGGGGAGGGGCGCGGCGGCGTGGGCGGGAGTGCGGCTGCGTGGAGCGCGCTGCCGGCCCGGCGCCGGTAGGTCGGTCGGCGGCTGCGACTGCGCCCTTCGGGCGCGGGAGGGCGTGTCTCACCCAGTCGATGCCCTCCGGCCTCCAGCGGAGAGCGTAGATGTGGTAGCTGGCGCCCAGGTCGGCGTGGACGCGCCTGACCTGGCGGTGCATCTTGTCGTCGTACCAGTAGGCCATGTGCACCTCCGCCCCGCCTTTCCCGGACGGGAAGCACCTGCCGCGGCCGGCGGAGGGTGCGGGCGGGGAGGCGGGGAGGCGGGGAGGCGGGGAGGGGAGAGGCTGGAGAGGCTGGCGAGAGAGCAGCGAGGCGCATGTGAGTGTCGGAGAGGGGGACGCGACGTCGCAGAGAGACGGTGTGGCGGTGCGGCCGTGCGCGCGCCATGCAATCTCATTGTGCGGCAGAGCCCCGTGGACGAAGACCGCGAGGCAGGCGAACGCGTTTGGCGCCGGCGGTCCTCCGCCAGGCGCGTGGGCGACCCGCGCCACCCAGGTGAAGTCACCGTAGCTGTACTTATCCCAAGAGGACAGGTGGCCTGTCGCCACGGCCGCGCCGTTCCCGCACTCGATACCCTCGTCATCCATCCTCAGCAGCAGACCACGCTGGCCGCCTGGCAGCCCGTGCAGCGTCTCGTTGTACTCCAGGTGAGAGGTCTCCATGCAGGAGCGCGAGCCATCCGTGAGGAGCGACCCGCTTCCCTCCTCGAAGATGGCCTGCGCCGCCTGCCGGTCCGTCAGGTCGAGCACGAAGGCGGCGCCAACAGCGCTGTCCTCTCCACCGCCCAGCCAGCGCGGCAGCAGGCGGCGGAGCGCACGCAGAAGCGCACGCGAACTGAGGATGGAACCCTCAGCGGCAGAGACTGTGTCGCCAGTCTCGCTGTATTCAGAAACGGCGGCCAAGGCGACAGCCGCAGGCATGTGCATGCGCGGGAAGACCGCCGCGACGACTGCGCCTAACCCAGCCCTGGAAGAAAACGATCCGGCTTCGTCTTTCGTTTTTCAGCGTTCTTCCTCACGGCTGTGATCTCTTTTTTCCTCGTTTTTTTGCGTTTTATTAGCTGCCCTACTGACCTCTTGGACAAACAACACTCTCTCTCCTCTTGGCGTCTCCGTTTTGCCTTTGCAATTCCACAACTCTCAAACAATAGATTTGTTTGGTATTGCACTCCTACGCCTTCGGCAACACCGAAGAGAAGGCCCGCCGCCTAAACATGGGCTGCAAGGCGCGCGGGCAACCCGGCCAACCCTTCGACCACAAGAACGGCCACGGCTACGTCAAGGCGCATCGCGGTTTCTACCACGACGCGATCTTTGTCAAGCGCAACAACTTCAACCTGCTGCTCCACGAGACGTTCGGCGGCGGCTTCTCGCCCACCGCCGTTCTCAAGCTGCGCCGCCTCGCGCGCAAAGCCGCGCGCGGCAGCGTTGACCGCACGGCCTACTCGCCCAAGTACTCGCTTTCTTTTATGTCCCACCATGCAGAGCGCATCTCTCTCTCTGTTGTGCGAGGCGTGAACCGCGCCATTCGCTCTCACCTGGCAACCCTGTCTGCACGTCTCGCGCGCGCGTGAACAGGGCTCCAGGCCCCAAATGACGTGTGAGTGTTAGAGTTGTTTGGTATTGGCTTTCTTTTATGTCCCACCATGCAGAGCGCATCTCTCTCTCTGTTGTGTGCGAGGCGTGAACCGCGCCATTCGCTCTCACCTGGCAACCCTGTCTGCACGTCTCGGGTCTCGCGCGCGCGTGAACAGTCCAGGCCCCAAATGACGTGTGAGTGTTAGAGTTGTTTGGTATTGTTCGACCATCATAGACGACGCTTTCACCGGCGCTCCCGCCTCCGCGTTGGCGTCGTGCGCGGCCTTGTCCGCTGCCTGTCCCCGCAACTTGAGCTGCCCCTGCACGGCGACCATCGCGTTGGCGGTCTGCGCAGCAAGCTTGGCCGCCTTCGCCGATCTCTCTCGCTCTGCCGCCGCTGCCGCGTCCACGGGGCAGTCCGTCAGCGGGTCGTCGCGCAGCCGCCCGTCGGCGTCGGCAGCCTCAATCATGGCAGCGTCGGCAGCCTCGCTCATACGGGAGCGCAGAGACCTGAAACGGTCGTCGACAAATTCGAAACGCCCGCCGAATTCGAAACGTGCGCCGCTCCCGCCGATCTCACGCTAACGGACCTTACCCGCCTGTAACCTCTCTTTAAGGTATTGCTAAAAATCTCTCTCTCAACTCTCCATCCACATGTCAGCTCTGTAATAGATCTGGAGAGAAATCACGACTCTCTAGATCTGAATGGTAGGTAAAAAGTAGTACGAGCCACACTGGAAAAATAAAACCTCTCTCTTCATCAATCATGTGGCAAGACGAACAAAAGAGAGAAAGCACGCGCCACCGTTTAAAGAGAACCCTCCCCGCAGGGAACTCAAGAGCCCCCCCCCCCCCCCCCCTTCCCCCCGAGAGAACTTTCCAAGCTTCGCCAAGCCTCCTGATCGCGGTAATGTCATCTACCGGCTTTTGCCGCGTCCCGGCGATTCCGGCGACGTTCCACGGACCCAAACCGGGTTGGGCCGGGCCCGGACGGAGTTTCCTGGCGCTGAGCTTGGAGTGCTCACAGTGGACCAGCGCGCAATGCTCGGCGACACGATCCTGAGCGAGTGCTCCACGCCGCCCCAGACCCGGCTAGCTCACAAGCCTCCGCCTGCGCCGCTGCGAGAGCACCGACTGGCGTGGCGGATGGATGGGCCGTTGCCTGATCTGGTGCCTGCTCCAGCTTCGGCGCCGGCGGCAAGCTCGACTGCCGCTGGTCACCTCGCGTCGCAGCGGGTCCTGCGCCCGCGCCTGAGCAACTGGGAACCCGCCTCCCGGACCCGGTCGTCGCTCCTATCGCACTCGGTCTCGCACGACTCCCTGGCTGAGTGCTCGGGCTGAGAACTTTCCCGACTGACTGGCCCCTCTTGAACCGCTCCCGAGCGGCCGCGCTGCGGCCACGCGCGCTCCGCCCCTCCTCATACTTGCCTTACCGTAGCCCCCAACTGCTTGGTGCGGCGTCCGCATCTGTGTTGCATGACCCCCCGGGGCCGAACGTTGCGATCCGTGTGTACAAGTGCAGACGTCTTCGTCACGTCCTGTGTCACGAGCATGCGCACACATAGCTGGTGCTCCCCTCTATCTGCACGTGCACGTGCCCTGCGGTGCGCCGGCGTCCGAGATCAGGCCTCTCGGGGTGCGCCCTGCACGACACCGTATGCGTAATGTGCACGCCCATACGTACGTATACTACTAAATACATTGGTACTCACTCTCTGAATCCGCCACACCGGCAGCATAAATCCTTTTGTACGCGCGCCGATATCTATGTCGTGGACGTGTGTCAGTGTGTGCACCGCCGCGGACACGCCGCCGCACACCCCTCACACGCACCGGCGCGCACGCGGGGGGGCGGTCCGCGGAGCTCACCGCACACCTCTCACGAACGGCCGGCCTCGTGGCGCCTGCCCACCGCGCCCGTGAGGGCGCATGCGTGGGGAGCTTATCTCGGCGGCACGGGGGTCGGATTGGCGCCAGCGATGCTAGTCCTTGGCCAGCCAGGGCGAGGCATCGATCGCGATCGCTTGCAGAGCCGGCGAGTCGGAGCCGCCGCGAGGCGTCCCGTCCACGCGAAGTCCGCTATCACTCGAGGGCATGCCTGAGAAGCTGCGGCGCGTGCTGCTGCGCGCCGACACATCCTGCGAGGCGGTCGAGAAGCGAGCGTGTGCCTCGCTGACCGACTCGCGCACCATCGACATGCGCTCAAGGTCCTCGGCGTCCACCTCGCCAGTCGGGCTGTCGAGGGGGGTGCTTGCGACCGGCTCTTGCTTGGAGGGCGACGCGTTTGGGGTGTGCGCGCGGCGCGGCGTGAAGAGGGAACTGATGATGGAGCGCGAGCTCCTCCCAAAGGCGCCGAAGATCTTGTGTCGCGGGGCGGGCTCCTCGCCCGTCTCGATCTGGGACAGCCGCAGCTTGAGCTTCGCGTTCTCCCGCCGCATGTCGGACTTGTCGCGTCGCAGCCTGGAGACGGCCTGCTCGTAGTGTCGAGTGCGGCGCCTCATGTACGCCGAGACGCAGCACTGCAGCAGGCAGAGAATGATCGTGGAGAGCGCGTAGGGCATGCCGATGGCGAGCGTGAAGCGAAGGTACCCCGAGAGCTCGAGCGACTCGAGGCACTCCGGCTCGGTCAAGGCCTCGTCGCCGCAGAGAGGGTACAAAAAGTTGAGGCCCTCGAGGTCGTCGGCGGTGAGGCAGGTGCGGGATCGGTGCTTGGTCACCGAAAACATGATCGAGTCGTGCGGGTCTCCGTCTGGGAGGTTCGAGCAGTCCTTTCTGTCCGAGTTCGGAATCCACTCGATGGTGGTTTCACTGAGGGGCATATTGCACGCGCTATCGCCCATGACGATTTCCGCCTTGGTTTGCAGGTTGCGTGCGCTAAGGACGCAATCGCCGCCGCAGTCGGTCTCGTCCGGGTGGTCGAAGCCAAGCACGTGCCCAACCTCGTGCGCGAGGGTCGCCTTGAAGTCGTAGCAGTCCCAGCAGGGGAGGAAGATGGTGAAGTAGAAGACGGGCGCAGCAATCAGCCAGAAGAGCGAGAAGAGGAGGCAGAAGAGCGGCGTACGCGCGAGGAAGAGGAGGACAGCATCGGTGCGCCGGCCAAAGACCTTCTTGACAGATGACTCCGCGCGCGTCCCCTGCGACGGGCACAGCGCGTTCCGGAGGCCGGCTGTGAGGATGGTGCAAAAGATGCCGGCGCACGCGATGGAGACGACGGTGACGACAATGCGCATGAAGAGGACGACGTCCCACCCGGCGTCGTTCATCGAGTGGAACTGGTAGCAGAAGGTGGTATCGAGGTACCAGCAGAGCTCGGTGCTGACCGTCATCTCCGAGCGCTGCAGCCCGCGTTGGGACCCAGGAATAACCGCGCCCGACGTCAAGCGCGTCTTCAAGGGTGTTTCACCCGCCGAGTCTAGACCCAGCTTGCCGTTTATGACAAAGGCCGCATAATCGCCTTGGCTGATCGATGGGTCATCTCTGTCCGCTGTCCACAAGTCGTTCGTTGTGATCAGGAGCTCGGCGTTCGGGCACTCGCATGTTGCGTCTTTAGGCAGGACGTCCTGCCATGTTGCGTCTTTAGGCGAGCTCTCACAGCTTGGTGATCCAGCAGCCTCCCAGCTCTTCCAGCACGCTGCGGTGACGTCCTCAAAGTGGAGGTACTTGTGATTGATCGCCCAGGTGTTGAAGGCCTCGGCGACCGCCTTGCGGATGCGGTCGCAGTCGAGAAACGAGAAGCCAAAGATGTTCTCGATCGACTCAAAGTCCTCCTCCGGAAAGCGCGGAAGCATCCGCTCGCAGAACTGCGGGTGGATCGCATAGGTTAGCCCACCGTTGAGGCCTTTTGTTGTGACCTCTTCTGGCGGGTCGGGCTCCGACAGCGGCCAGAGGACAATCCTGTCGTACAAGCTGTCGATGTCGCCCTTCGCGTCGCAGCCAGCGGTAGACGACCCGCCGCCGGTGAGGACCCACGCCGAGGCTGGAACAGCGGCGAGGGCCAGCGCGAACGCGAGCGAGCGCATGGAGCACCGAGCCGCCGGGCCAAGGTATTTAGGCGCCTTCCCTCGGGTTGAGCACATTGACACGCTAAAAAGAATTACAAAGATCCCTGACACGACACTGGGCACGGGACTGGCGCGCACTGGCACTAACACAGGTACACCACGAAAAAGAATTTAAAACGCACGGGTCGCGCGCGCGCACTCTACGCTAAAAAGAACTACGCCTTCGACCGGGCTCGTCTCCGATGCGCTTGTCGCCCTCCGATTGCACGTTCTTTCAAATTCACAGAAGACCCATCGTTCTTATTTTTTGCCCCTTGCAAAACTAAGGAAACGTCATCCTCACGGGTTCGCGCCACCATCATAGGTGGACGGAGCGTGTGAGAGCCGTGGCCACACGAACCGGGTCCAAGCGACCCCCCGTTGGCAGAGAGACGTGGCACATTCGGGTCAACGGGCATGCGCCAATGGAGTGGGGGAATGCGAGCGGTCTCCTCTCCGTCCTCGCCATCTCAGCCTTGGCGAACTCCTCTCTCCTGAGTATCAACTTGTATTCAGCATCGGGCCGCCAGATCATCCAGCTTGCGCGAGACGACAACCTGTTTGTGAGGGACGCAGTTATTCGAGATGGCCAAAGCGACGGCGCTCCTCCCACGCTGAATGTCTTTCGGGCACGTCTGGTTGGTGGGTGGGCCAGTGCGACGCTCCACAATTGCTCGCGGGCGAAATGTTTGCTTGACATGGCCATAGACCTCGCCGGCGTCCTTCACAGCCTCTCTGTCACCATCCCGCTCGATGGAGTTGCCGTGCCCGCCTCCCTAAGGCAGAGCCTGACTCGCCTCTCTGCCAGCTCCAGCGTGTTGCGGCCTCGCGCTGCGGCTTGGAGGAGCTTCCGCCATCCCGTCGCACCGCGCCGACGGCTCGGAAGCTCCAGCAGGATCCGCGAAGGCGACATGCTCCTTCGCGTTCGCGAAGCCGGAGCCAGCTACCCTTCGCTGTCACTGAACAGCGACGTGCCGCCGTATGGTCGCCTGACTGGCTGCCCCGCCGCGCCGAGCCTCTCCGAGGTTACCATGGGGCTCGTGCTCGACCGCGGCTTTGTGAGCGTGTACGGCGGACGCGCCGCAGCGCTCACTGCTGCTGCTGAATGCATCTCTCGGGCCAACGCCATCTTCGAGGACCAGCTAGGAGTCCGGCTTGTCGTGAAGACCGTGGTGCTTGGTCACGGTGGTGGCGGCGTAAGCGATTTGGCCAATGCCACACCTGTAGACGGGCCGACGACGCGCTCGTGCCCCTTGTACAACGGGGCAACCTTCAGGGGTCATGGAGCGACGGTCTATCTCCGAGGCATCGAGGTGGCGCTAGGCCGGCTAGCGCACTTCGCCTCGCAGCGCAGCGCCTCCGAGGACCTGTGGCATCTCTTCACCGACTGCTTCCCTGCGCCCGGGGTGGACGGCATAGCATGGGTGGGAGCGGTCTGTGAGGGGGAGGGAGAGGCATCCGTCTTCTCAGATAGCGGCGTGCGGCCGCTCGCTTCGGGTCTGAGCAGTGAAGAGCAGTTTGATGCCTGCCTGTCCATGGGCTACTTTGGCGTCGTCGAGAATGGAAACTGCGCTACCGAGTCGCACTCTGGAGTGTGCGGCGCGGACGACTCGATTTGCTACGGCTCGGTCGCAGTGTCGTCCAACGGCGAGTCCCTCTGGCGCACCTTTGCACACGAGGTGGGCCACAATTTTGGTGGCCTGCACACCTTCGACGCGGGCGGGCTGATGGCTTACAATGACGAGCGCGCCCTCCACGACAACTTGGACATTTGCAATTTTCTCTATGGAGGCGCTCCGACTGCGGGATGCCTGAGCCCCGTCCAAAGCAGTTGCGGCAACGGGGTCGTTGAGGCTGGCGAGGCATGCGACGATGGAGGCACCAGTCGGGGCGACGGCTGCGACACGGACTGCACAGTTGAATGTGGCTGGGTGTGCCGAGAGCCTCTCGGTGAAGGTGGTGCCGGGGCGAGCGCATGCGAGGTGGGTTGCGGCAACGGTGTGGTGGACTGGGAGCTTGGCGAGGAGTGCGATGAGGCATCCGAGTGCTGCAGTGGGTGTAGGCGAGTCGCAGAATGCGGCAGTGGCTGCGGCACAAACTGTTTCACGGGTAGTGCATGCGACAATGGCGCGCCGACGACAACCAGGTGCGGCGACAATGGTCGAGGCTTCTGCCAGAGCGGCATCTGCGAGCAAAGCAGCATTTGTACTGCACTTGGAATGGAGGTCGATACCACCGTTTGCCCAATCTGGAACGATTTACCTTGCCTCGTTCGTTGCCTGCGATCCGATGGCAGATGCGAGCAGCAGCTGTTCGCATTTGAAGACCGTGCGCTCAATTGGATGCCCGACGGAACGCCCTGCGTGCACTCGGCGTCTGAGCGCGGGGTGTGCCGTGAAGGCGCCTGTGTCGCCATGCGTGATGGTGCATGTCCTTCACCACCGACTCCGCAGCTGCCGCCGCCGTCGCCACCAGCGCTCGCACTTCCCCCATCAAACGTGCCTGAGCCCCTCGAGATGGTCCTACCGGCGCCGAATCCATCGCTGGAGCCGTTGCCAGAGCCATCACCGGAGGTGCCACAACCACCATCGTCGTCGATCCCCACATTATCACCGACGCTCTCCCCCCTACCCATCCCGCTCTCCCCGCAGCCTCTACCGCCGTGGCCGTTGCCGCCGCCAACACCTTGGCAACCGCCGAACCCGCTCTTTCCACCGAGCCCAACGCCTCTGTCCTCACTGCCGCCTCTGCCACCTCCATCCGATCCGCTCCCGCCGTCACCTTCGCCACCCTCACCGCCAGCGCCTTCGCCACCCTCGCCTTCGTGGCCGCCGCTATTGCCCTCGCCACCATCACAGCCGCCCCCACCTCCGCCTCCCACCCTATGCGAGACGAGCACGTGCACCGAGGCGACGTGGCAGCGCATGGCTGGTGCTTACACCTGTGGAGCGCGGATCACGTGGTTGCGAACGCACGCCGGTGGCTTGCTGAGCGAGGCCGCCGCCTGCCACAGAGTGGCGGCGGTCGAGTTTGTCGTCCAATGCGGTGATTGTAGCCCGGGTGTAGGCCCGCCACTGCCACCTCCAAGCCCGACACCGCAAGCACCGCCGCCACCACCGTCGGTACCGCCGCTCTCTCCGCCGCCGTCAGCGCCGCCCTCGCTACCACCGTCCACGCCGCCCTCTCCGCTGCCGTCGGCGCCGCCCTCGCTGCCACCATCCAAGCCGCCCTCGCTACCACCGTCCACGCCGCCCTCTCCGGCACCGTCCACGCCGCCCTCGCTGCCACCGTCCATGCCGCCCTCTCCGCTGCCGTCGGCGCCGCCCTCGCTGGAACCATCCACATCGCCCTCGCCCTCGCCCCCGCCTTCGCCGCCAACCTCGCCGCCACCCTCACCGCCACCCTCAATGCCGCCCTCACCACCGCCATCTCCGCTGCCGTCAGCGCCTTCCCCACCGACCTCACCTCCGCCAGTGCGCCCGCCGCCTACTCCGCCGCCACCGCCACCACCGGGTCCACTTTCACCGCCACCAACCCTGCCACCTAGCCCAACACCGCCGTCGTCGCCGCCACAATCGCCACCAGTGATCCCGGTAATGTCTGTGTGTACAGATGAACCGAGCGACTATATGCGACGGCAGAGCCTGGAGTGCAGCTCTTGGCAGTTTGGCATACGCACCCTCTGCAACCAAGATGCCCTCTGGCGAGCCGAACGCTATTGCAGTCGGAGTTGCTGGGTTGGTGGCAACGGCTATGACGGCGATGATTGCGCCTTGACCGTGCCAGTGCCGCAGAATGCCTCCAGCTGCACCGACGAGCCGAGCAGCTACATGCGGAATCGTGGGTTTTCCTGCAGCACTTGGCACTTTGGGATCCGGAAATATTGCGTCCAGAGCCCAGTGTGGAGAGAGCACCGATATTGCAGTCAGAGTTGCTGGGAGGCGGGGAGAGCTTATGTGGGCGACTTTTGCCTGTCTTCTGCTCCGGCTATGCCACCGCCCCCGGCCCCGCCGATGCCGCCGCCTCGGCCCTCGTTCCCCTTGGGCACCACGCTACGAGTCTACCTTTTGGCGGGACAGAGTAATGCCGAGGGATATGGGCGAATCACTAGCCGCGACAACCGCACCGGGGATCTGGTCGCCACAACCACGCGCCCAGGTAGCGAATTCGCACACTGGGCTCGAAGTGTCGAATGGGGCTGGCCGGTGAGAGAGGATGCCTTCGTGTGGGACCATCGCTCGAATCCCGAGTGGGCGGAGCTGCCTCCCCGCATTGGAAAACTGGGTGTGGGCTTTGGGGCAGACCATGAGAGCTTCGGTCCAGAGCTCGAGCTGGGCCGCGTGCTCGCCGACGCCTACGACGAGCCGGTGCTGGTGGTCAAAACGGCATGGGGGGGCAAGAGCCTACGCACAGATTTTCGCCCGCCCGGCGTCGGCGGTGAGACGGGAGCCTTCTACAACGAGATGATCGCTGGCTACCGCGACGCTGTCGCGCGGGCAAACGAAACCTTTTCAGGTCTCGTTGGCCTGGCCCCGCGGCTTGAGGGCTTTCTCTGGTTTCAAGGATGGAGTGACCTCTGCTGCAGCGACGTGTACCAACCTCTGCTCGAGCAGTTGATCGTGGACGTCCGCAGAGCCATTGGCGACGTGCCAGTCATAATCGGGGAGACGGGCGTTGGCTACAACGATACTGAGCGGAGGGCGCTTGCGGAAGCTCAGGCGGCCGCAGCGGTCGCGACGCCCCTCGCCACCTACGTCCCGACTCGCCAATATCTGCGGCTGCCCGGCGACTCCCCGTCTATAGCGCTGCACCACTGGTATGACAATGCGGAGAGCTACCTGCGCATTGGTCAAGCCATGGGCGAGGCGCTCATTAAGCTCGCTAAAGAGCCGCTGCTACCATACTCATCGCCCACGCCTCCAGCCATGCCGCCGCTGCAGGCGCCGGCACGGGCGCCGCTGCAATTTGCCCCCCTGCTGCTCCATCGGGACATGAAGGTTGCCCCCGCCGCCCGACTCTTCAAGAAGCGAGTGGCCACCCTCGAGCTCTGCGCTGCTGAATGTCGCGCCCGTGATACGTGCGTCGTTTTCTCCTACAAATCCGGCGCAACTCTCTGCATGGGCGGCAGCTCTCTGACGGGTACCGCTCCCCACGACGACTTCCTCTTCTTCCGGCTAGGCCTGGCAGTGACACCACCCTCAACGCCACCACTCTCAACGCCACCACCATCTGCCCCGCTTCTGCTCGCCCCGCTGCCGTCCTCGGCGGGGGTGCTGCTCCACTCAGACACCAAGGTCGGCTCCGACGGCCGCCTCTTCAAGAAGAAGGTCAACAGCTTGGAAGAGTGCGCTGCTGCCTGCCGCGCCCGCGATGGGTGCGTCGTCTTTTCCTACCTTCCTACTGGTTCTAGAATCTGCATGGGTGGCAGCTCCGAGGCCGGGAGTAGAGCCCAAGCCGGCTTCAGCTTCTACCGACTGACATGAATGCTTCCGTTGCACCCTCTGCGCGCCGTCCGGGAAAGCTGGTTCAAGTCGCGTCTAGCTTCGAGAGTCGAATACACACCGTACGTACCGTGTTTGCATATGCATGTTTTCAGCATTGATTTTGGGTTTCGCGGATAATAATCAAATATTCTTATCTTCTCTTGCGCCCCCCTCTCCGAGACTGGGGAGACAGTCACACCCCAGTATCAGACCAGGCGGGGAGTGCCCCCCGCCCCCGCTTGCCCTGACTGCACAGGATAGCGTGCCCCGATTACGGCGACACATAGCGGGGGACACTGCGCAAGGAGGGGGTGCGACGGCTTTTTTCTTTGTCTTCTCGAGGGAATGTTCTCTCGGCGCCCATGGCCTTCTCAGGTTTCGTACTGATGACGTCCTTCTTGGCACTTCGGGCGTCGGTATGTGTGTGTGTTCCCTCGGTAATGTGCTACGGGTATGCGCCGCCGCTCGAACGCTTCCCGGCCGGCCAACACCTATTCTCTGCTGACGACGGCCGGTAACCCCTCGTCGATCGAGTGGCCTCCGGTTCGAAATCGACGAGTTGACCCTTATCTTTTTTTCACACCTGAGCGGGCTCAATTTTGCTCTAGATGCCTCCTACGGTTTCGAACTCGCGTTCTCGGGCAGGCGCCCGGTCGCGGTGCGTTGGTCGTGTTTTCGTCACGGGCGGAGTTTTCGCGGATAATAAACAGTGCGGTAGATGGCCAGCTCGGGGCGCACATGAGCCGGGTGGACTTGTGGGCCGGTCGCCTTTGATTCTCTCTCTGCGTTCTCTCGCACATGTGGAGTGCGAGGTAGCATCTCGTCTGTCGCCGTCCTAATAATAACTGCCAAAACCCTCCCCTTTCTCCCGGGGCCGGGGCGGGCGCGCGCGCAGGGGCGGCGCGGGTGTGGCGGGATGTGGGCCCGAGTGCCGAGAGCGATATGGCGTCCCATGAGCCATGTGTGTATATGTGCGTGTGTTTGAGTTTGTTGGGCCGTCACGCCCGTGTGTTTGTTTCACATTAGTCAGTACTCATTACCCGGGTGTAAAGGGTGTGGATGCTGGGTTCAACAAAATCGGAGGACGCGACCCACTTCGCCACAGACGGTCCCGCGCCTCGCCGCTATGACGGGCACACGCCCCGCACCGTCCGCTGTGTGCCCGTCTTTGTCCGGAGTGAAAAGTCCAACGCGCTCGTCGGTGACGGCTTCCTCCAACCTGCGCCGCGCTCGGCGAACCTCGACAGCGCTTTCGGTGGCATGCAGCTCTTTGCGACAGAAGCCTGGAGAGCAGCTCCTCTGCTGCTCACACACTCTGCACAGCTGACACAGCCTACTGTGCGGCTGTCACAGCTGTGACAGCGATGGGCTCGCCCTCACTGGCCCTCAGTCACTTGTGCTGCGGCTTGTGTGAGCGACACTGCTCGGCGACTGCCGGCACACTGTGAGACCATGGGTGAGAGGTCAAACCACGCTACCAGCGCTTGGTCACATCGGCCCCGAGGTCAGATCCATCTACTCTGTTGATGACAAGACTTGTCTACCGGCTGGAGCCGAGCAGGAGGGCTTGGCGCACAACCCCTGTTCAACTCACCCTCCACACCCCGTAGCCGACCAGGGTATTCGTAAACTGCTCAGACGAAAACTCACGGATTTAAGCGCCAAAAAGGGGCACACCGCCGTGCAACAAGCGACGAACCGACAAGCAGCGGAGCGGCGGTGGTGGTACTAAGTGCGTTTGGATCCCGGCTCAGGCCAGATAAATGTAGGTTGATGCCGACTTTGGGTCCCGCTCGAGGTATTCGCGGTCTATCAACGACTCTATCCGCTTCTTCAGGTCGGGCGGCTTCAGCGGGAACTTGAGCTGACCACGCGGGAGGCGGCGCGAGGTGAGCCGAGGGGGTGGAGGGCGGGGAAGAAGGGGGCGAGGGGGGGGGGGGGGCCCCTGCTGAAAGAGCTCCGACATGAGGAGCGAGTGCGAGAGCGTCTTTCTCGCCTTCATCACGCGCACGATGGCCGCATCGATCTGGTACTGCCGATCCTGGAAGACGCGCTCACTCGTCTGCTCGTTCTCCGCCTATTTGAGAGCATAGCCCCGACTGCGCACGCACGGCGACCGCGCAGACGTGCGCGCCGTCGCAAGGGGCGCACCTCGCTCTCTCGTGTCTGGATCGAGTTGATCTTGATGCGGAAGAGGGGGTGCTTGAAGGACGCGTCGAGGAAGAAGCGGTCCGACCCGTCCACCTCGCGCCCCTTCGGCTCCTTGCGCAGCACGCGCACCTTGCCGCAGGCGAGCGACTGCAGCGTCACCTTGAGCTCGCGGTCCTCGATGCCGGTGGCCTGCAGCACGTGCGCGTACGAGAGGCCGTCGCCGTCGTTGAAGAGCAGCAGCACGATCGTCTGCAGCAGTGAGACCGAGATCTCCTTCTTGCCGAGCGGGAAGTTGGCCTTGAGCGTGCAGTGGCCGAGGCACGGGTGCCACTGCAGCCGCCGGCCGTTGTGCTTGGACATATAGTAGGTGGAGAAGATCTCCTGCAGCTCGAGGATCTCGCCCGGCAGCTTGAGCTCGACGGGAGGGTACCTGCAGGGAGGGGAGGGCGGCTTGGGAAGGGCGGCTCCTCTCTGGCGCGGCGGTGGTGATCTCGGGTAATCTCGGGTAATCTCGGGTAATCTCGCTGCTCCTCTTTGGCGCGGTCGTGGTGGGCGCGCTGGCGGAGCTCGCGGGGAGGGGGGAGGCGTGGAGGCGTGGAGCGTGGGAGGAAGGCAGAGGGGGAAGGGGAGGTCACGTCGGCCAGTAGCCCTGCGTGAGCACGTGCACCGACAGCTCGAGGCTGGGGGAGACCTTTGCGGCCTGCGGCGAGGTGCGGAAGGATGCCATCACGTCCTGCGAGAGGTCGATGTCCTTGAACATGCCCTCGAGCTTGGAGGTGAAGGCGGAGCCGCACTCCGCCTTGAGCTTGGAGATCATCGCCTTCTCCGTGTCGATCGAGGCCGACTTGTCGAAGAGCAGCCGCTTGGAGAGGTCCTGGACACGGGCGGCGGGCGTGTCGCGCAGCCGTCGCGCGCGCGTCGCGGAGAGGAGGCAGGCGGTGCGGAGGCCTTCTTGTAGAAGGCCTCGAACAGGTCCTTGCCGTCGATGTAGCGGAAGAGGGTCATCGCCTTGTCCAGCACTTCCTCGAGCTCGCCCTCGCTGCTCCCCTTGTTGCCCGCGCGCAGCTTCGAGTCGAGAAACCGCGCCACCAGCTCCGCGGGCCGGTTCTGGCGGATGTTGATGAACTGCTCGAACGACTCCTACACGGCTCGGGCAGGGCTCGGCGGACGGGGGTCTGCCGGAGGTGTGAGAGGAGCCGCTCGCGCTCCTTGAGCGAGTGGCCAGACTGCTCGGGTAATCTCGGGTAATCTCGGGTAATCTCGGGTAATCTCGGGTAATCTCGCTCCTTGAGCGAGTGGCCAAACTGCTCGTTGCCTGCGAAGGCCTGCGCGAGGACCGTGTCGAGCTTCTCCTTGAAAGAGATGAGCTCCTGCGCGCGGGGGGTGGGGTGGGGGGGGGGCAGTGTCTGGGGAGGGCCTCTCTCCTCTCCGGAGGGCCGCTTCCTACTGCCCCCACAAGTCCACCACTCGCTACCCCCACCAGTCTACCCCCACCAGTCCACCACTCCTACACCCACCACGCTCCTGCACGAGCCCTCGCTCACGCTCCTGGTCGCTCACCATCGCACCGCCCACGCTCTTGATGTGCGCCGCAAAGGCCTGCCGCAGCTCGGGCAGCGCGTTCACCTGCGGCACGCGCCGTGGAGGCGCCGTGGACGTGCCATGCACACCACCGTGGCCGCGTGCCCGCCGCGTGTTGGCCGCGTGCGTGCTGGGCGCGTGCGGGGCGCGCACGGCTCGCCGCGGCAAGGGCAGCACCCTCGCCTGCGCAAACAGCGAGTACATGCGCCTGAGGTCGTCGAGGCGCGCGTGCTGGACGAGGTCGGCGAAGCCGCGCTCGAGGAGCGGCCGCACGTGCACCGCGAGCAGCGTCTGCCGCACCGCCGCCATCAGCGGCTTGCGCGAGGAGCCGTGCAGGTAGTGGGCGACGCGAGCCTCCTCTCGAGAGAGGCGCGAGGCGACGTGCTCGAGGTACGAGGGGACGTCGCGCGCCTTCGGAAAGGGGGCCGGGGGGGGAAGGGGGGGGGGGGGGGGGCGTTGCCGTCGTAGGTCGCTCCTTCCGCCCTCGCCGGCGGGGCGGGCCGGCGGGCGGGGCGCGCGCATTCATCTCTGCAGCGCCCTCTGCGAGGTAGTATGCGGACGAGGCGGCGAGGAACTGCTCTTCGAAGTGGCGCTGGTAGAGCCCGAGGTCGTAGAGCATGCGCAGCAGCTCCGCCAGCAGCGACCGCTCCACCTGGTCGCCCCCCCGCTCCCGCTCGATGCTCGCGAGCACGCCATCGCGCAACTTGGCGAGCAGCTCGGGCCGCGCGCTCAGCTGCGCGCGGAAGCTGTGCAGCCCCATCTCCCAGAGGGAGCGCCGCGCGGCGCTCTGCATGACGTAGGTGCGGTCGAGGTACAGGAAGATCGAGCGCAGGGTGAGCATCTCCTCGCAGTGCGCCGACCAGCAGCCGTGCACGAGCGAGAGGAAGGCGCTCGTGTCGGGGGTCTGTAGGGCCTCGATCGAGGCCTCCACGTGGGCCTCGCACTCTGCCTGCAGCTTATCGTACGTCCGCGCCGCCATGTGCTGCACACACATGTCCTCCACACCTCGGTACAGCTCCTCCAGGCTGTGGTTCACCGCACGCTTGCCGTGGACAGCTCGCACCGCGTCCAGCAGCTTGGCCCAGGTGGCCTGCTCGAAGTTGGCGGGCAACTTTGGCGCCGTGCGAAGCGGTTTGATCGTGAGCTTTCGCGGCGCTCCAGCGGCAGATGGCCCGGCCTTCTGCTGCATTTGTCGCTGGAAAGCGTGAGCGGCTCGGCACCGATCTAACCGGTGCCGTGGAAAGAAAACCGAGGCCCCCGTTCCCCAGTAACACACCTTCCTTCCAGTGAAATCCCTGTGTGGTGGCGGCGTGCCGTCCTGCTCGTTCAGGTGGGGACCCTGTCCTCCTCCCATTCCCTCGTTTGGCGTGTGCGTTTCGTATTTATTTAAGTGCTCCAAGGTCGCCTCTCTAAGATCTAACGGTCGCCTCTCTGAGCAGGTTTGCTGGCAGGTATCTCTAGGCTGGCAGCGCCGCCTCGAGCAGGCGGACGTACTGCGGGTTGAGATGGGTGCCGTCGAGGGCGAGGCCGTCCGCGAGCGCGTCGCCGGCGGGTGTGAGGAGCTGCTCGAAAAAGTCGAGCCAAGCGAGCACGGGCGAGGCGCGCTCGACGGCGCGCCGCAGGGCAGCGTTGAACTGCTTGACGACGGCGCGAGTCTCTGGCAGGACCGGAGGGACCTGCAGGGGGGCGGCACCTCTCGCCTCAGTGAGGGCGCCTCGCCCTGCGCGGGCGCGGGGAGGGGCGGGGTGCCGGGTGGACGAGGATGTTGAAGCGCCGGCGCGCCGCTAGCCGGCGCAGCGTGCGGATGTAGATGTCAACCACCGTGTCGATCGCCTGTGCGAGGTCTCGGTAGCGCGCCCGCTCGACGGCGAGCAGCAAGCCTGAAGGGCGGTGCGCGGGCGGGGGGGGGGGGGGGGGGGCGTCGAGAGGGGAGCGACGCGCCCGCTCGACGGCGGCGGGCGGCGCACCCTCGCGGCAGTCGATCTCTCCAAAGGCGAAGACGACGTCCGCGCCGTCGGGGAGGGAGGCGGCCGCCGCCTCGAAGTTTGCCTTTGGGAAGAAGTCTGCGCCGTCGCGAAGGTGCCACAGCTTGAGGCCGGTCACGAGGACGGGCACGAGCACGCGCGGCTGTCCGCGCCAGCGCACCACGCGCCACGAGGGCGAGAGGGCGTGCGAGTCGCCGGCCACGTACAGAGGCGCGAGGGGCGGGTCGGCCGGCTGCGGCGGAGGCGTGGCGAGGAGCATCGCGGCGCAGCAGTAGTACGCGTTCTCATTGCGGATGAGCGTGAGGTGCAGGTCCCTGATCTGCCGGCGCGCTGGCTCGAGAAGGCGGACGAGGGCGGAGGCGGCGGGCAGGCATCCGGAGACAAAAAGCACCTGCGGCAAACCGCGAGGCGCGCGCAGGGTGGGGCGGAGCCGGGAGCGGGCGAGCCGGGAGAGGGCGAGCCGGGGTGCGTGAGCGGGTGAGGGCCGGAGAAAAGGGGGGGGGGGGCGCCTTGAGCGCCGTGAAGTAGAGAGCGAGCAAGTCGAGCTCGAGGGGAGGAGCCTCCTTGCCGAGCCTCGCCCCCTCCCCGTCGGCTAGCTCGCCGCCTGCGTCCGGAGCAACCTCCGTCGCCGCGGCTCGCAACGCGGCCTCCTCCGCCGTCCCCTTGCAGGGCGACGCGGAGGGCGGCGCGGAGGGAGGCCGCCAGCGCGCGGCCTCGCACTGCTCCCTCGTCGGAAGCAGCGCCGCCACGTCAGCGCAGCGCACGCCGGCGGCGGCGCGCTGCGGGTTGGCGTCGCAGTGCTCGCGCACGGCCTCCAGCGCGTCGGCGTAGCGCAGCTCGACCTCGAGGGTGTGCGCGCGCTGCAACGCGTACGCGGACGCGTCCGGCACGAGCCGCGCTGCCTCGGCGATGAGCTCGAGCGAGGCGGAGAGCTTGGAGTGGTCCCTTGCGATCGTCGCGAGGAAGGCGAGCGCCGACGCCGACTTTGCGTCGAAGGCGAGCTGCTGCCGCAGCAGCGCCATCCCGTCCTTGGAGCCGAGCGAGGCTGCGAGCAGGCGGCGCACCGCGCTGTCGTCGGAGCGCTGCGTCACCAGCCGCAGAAAGATCTTGAGCGCGTCGTCGTGCTGACCGAGCGCGACGCACGCCTCGCCGTACGGAAGCAGCGCGTCCGCCTGCGCGACGTGTCGTGGACGTGTCGTGGACGTGCCGTGGACGTGTCGTGTCTCACCACGCGGCGGCGGCGGCGGCGGCGGCGGCGGCGGCGGCGGCGGCGGCGGCGGCGCGTGCGCCTGCTCCATGTCCTGCTGCAGGATCGACGTGAGCAGCGCGCCGCCCTCCTGCCGCGCACCCGCCTTGAAGAGCGTCCTACCCAGCTCGATCTTGAGCCGCCGCGCCTTGGCCGCCACCTTGGCCGCCGCCTTGCCGCCCGCCTTGCCGCCCGCCCCGGAGCCGCACCGCTCGAGTGCGGCGCGCACCGCGGCGGCCGCCTCCTCGCCCTCGCCCGCCGCGAGGTGGGAGCGCGCGAGCGCGACCGCGGCCTCCTCGCTCGTGGGGTCCTCGCGCACCGCCCGCTGCAGCCAGTGGCACGCCTCCTCGTGCCGCCCCGCTTGCTCCTCGATGAGGCCGAGCCGCAGCAGCGCCGTGAAGAGGCGCGGAGAGACGCCGAGCAGCTCCGTGTAGATGGTCTTGGCCCGCGCCAGCTGCCGCGCCGCGTACGCCTTGTCCGCGGCCTTGAGGTACGGCTCTAAGTCCTCGGCGGCGTTGGCCGCAGCGGCGGGCGCTGGCTGGGAGGGCGGGCGCGCAACGCTTTTCGCGATCAGGTCGGCACCCTCCCGCACGCACGCGCACACGCAGTGGCCGGCCGGCAGCTCGACGCCATTCTCGGTCACGAGGCTAATGTGCCGCGTGCCGGCGGTGGCCGGCAAGCGCTTTGCAACGAGGGCACACAGGTCGCGGACGGCGCGCCTGTCGGTCGGAGCCCAGCTGACGGCGAGCGTGAACTCGGGGTCGCCGTCGTGGTGGATGTAGAACCGCATATGGGGGACACCCGGAGGCGGCGCAGGGTTCCGGCTCCTAGCCGGATAGGGGGTCTGCACGCTGGCCCCTCCCAGATAGGTAGGTAGGTTGGTCTTGTTTCGCCCAAACGGGCCCTGCAATAGGTAGGTACAATTTTATCTTTTTTCGCTTCGCTGCGCGGCCTGGGGATAGGTAGGTAGGTAGGTAGGCGTTTTGGCGCGAGTCAGTGCGGCGACAGACCCCCTATCCGGCTAGGAGCCGGAACCCAGGCGACACCCAGGCTGAAACGGAAAAAGAGCTTCCACGTTTTCGGCCCTGGATGTGAGGTTACCGACTGCACTCCAAGTGCTCCAAGTTTTTCACCACACCTCTGCCGACGGCTCCTCCTCCGCCGCGTCCTCCACCAGCGCGACGAGGTCGGGGCAACCGAGGTTCCGCCGCATCCGCGCGCTCTCGGGGTCCCTGCGGCCCAGCAGCCCGTCGAGCGGCAGCGGCTCGAGGTCGAGCAACGCCGCCGTTTGTCGGTCAAGCGACCCCGCCCGCGCCGCCGCCCGGCCCTCCCGCTTGACCGCCTCGTCCCAGCGGCACTGGCCGTAGAAGGTGGAGCGGGGCAGGTCGCCGCAGTCGGAGCGGCGCCTGCGCGGGTCGCCGTCGGACAGCCAGTGCACCATCTCCACCGGCACCTCGAAGCTAAAGTGCGAGCGCTGGAAGTGCGGCGTCAGCGCCACCGCCAGCCGTGCCGCCTCCTCGACAAGCGGCCGCAGCGGAGCGCCCGTCTCGTCCTCCTCGTCCAGCGCCGGCACGGCCGCGGGCGGCGCGGCGAGCGGCGCGTGCGGCGAGCCGCAAGCCAGGACCGCCGCGGCGAGGAAGCGGGAGTAAAACTGCTTGGCGTGCGTCGCCGCCGCCGCCGCGCCCGCCTCGGGTTCGCGGACGCGGCCGTCAGCGAGCAGCGAGCGGAGGCAGCGGAGGAAGGGGGCGAGCGACGCGGCGCGCGCGGGCGGCTCGAGGTCGATGAGGACGCCGTGCAGCCACTGCGCGGTGCGGCAAGTGTCCTCGTGCAGAGGGCCGAGCGCGCGCCACCGCTCGTCAAACGCGCGCCGCACGAGGGCGAGGGCCGCCTCGGGTGCGCCTTCGGCCAGGCGGACGCCGCCCAGCGCGAGCTGCGCCTGGGCACGGGAGGCGAGGGGTCGGGAGGCGAGGGGTCGGGAAGGGGGCGAGCTGGGTGGGGTGGGGTGGGGGGCGGGAGGGCGAGCCTGAGAGAGCTGCGGGTGGCCGACGCCGAGCGTGGAGCGCATGGCTGGCAGCAGCGCCTCGAGCGCCTCCCGCGCGGCTCGCAGATCGCCCCGCCCGGCGGCGGCCTGTGCGAGCGCCAGCCGCGTGCAGAGCACCGTCAGCTCCTGGATGCTGCCCGCCGCCAGCTGCTCCTCCTGGATGGCGAGCGCGTGCTGCAGCAGGTAGCTGCACTGCCGGTAGCTGGCGACGGCGCGCTCGGCGTCTGCGTCGCTCGAGGCGCGGTGGTGCATCCCAAACGCTGACGTGAAGAGGGCGTCCGCGAGGAGCCGCTGCGCCGCCGGCCCGAGCGGGGACGGCTCGCCGGCGCAGACGGAGTCGAGGTGCTGGCTCCCGCCGAGCGCGCCGATGGAACACTCGCACTCCAGCCCGAGCGGGACGACCGACTGCTGCCAGGTCTCAAAGCGGAGCACCGAGCGGGCGTGCAGGTGGCGCAGCGCGGCCAGGGTGGAGCCCTTGCCGGCATGGAGGGCCGCGATCCGCTTGAGGCGCTGGAGGCAGTCGCACAGCTCAGCTCGAAGCCAGTGCTCGAGGAGGTGCACCGCCGGCGAGAGGAGCTCGGCCCACTCCGTGGCCGGCAGCACAACCGCGATGGCGCAAGACGTGATCGGCCAGCTTGTCAGTCGACAGTGCCGCAGCACGCGGCAGTGGTCGGCACTCGCGTACGCCGCCACCGCCGCTCGAAGCTGCGCCAGCATGTGTGCGACCGCGGCGTCGGCCGCCTCGCGGTGCCGGCAGTCGCAGCGGCGGAGCGCAGCAAAGGCCGGAGGCTCCGTCAGAGACAGGATCTTGGCCTGCAGGTCGAGCGGGAGGTCGTGCAGCAGAGGCGGGCCCGCTGTGACGTGTGAGTGTGCGAGCAAGGCACTGTCCTCTGACGTGGTCAAGACAGGCGTGCAGTCCACTCTCCTCGCCAGCTCAAGCATCACCAAGCCCAACAGGTCCTCCTGATGATTTTCCATCGTGGAAGATTCGCGAGAGGAAAAAAATATTTTCAAGCAAGCGGCTCCTAAGGCGGCTGGCGAGCGCCTCGCATTCGAGCAGATGCTGATCCACAGGAGCGAGACCACAGGAGCGAGAGGCGCGGCTGGGGCCCCGTCGGTGCCCCCGCCAGCCCCCGAGGGAGGGGGCTCTGGCCCAGAGCCATCCTTTGCCTCTCTCTGCGGGCCGTACGCCTTGCCCTTGGTCGGCGTCGGAAGCGCGCTTTGGCGCGGATTTGCCCATATCGTTGGGCGCACGGAGGGAAGGAGAGGTGGGCTCCTGCCCGAGAAGGTCGCGGGACCTGCGCAGAGCTCGCTCTGCGTGAGAGAGATTTTTAGCAATACCAAACAACTCTAACACTCACACGTAATTTGGGGCCTGGAGCCTTGTTCACGCGCGCGCGAGACGTGCAGAGAGGGTTGCCAGGTGAGAGCGAATGGCGCGGTTCACGCCTCGCACAACAGAGAGAGAGATGCGCTCTGCATGGTGGGACATAAAAGAGAGCGAGTACTTGGGCGAGTAGGCCGTGCGGTCAACGCTGCCGCGCGCGACTTTGCGCGCGAGGCGGCGCAGCTTGAGAACGGCGGTGGGCGAGAAGCCGCCGCCGAACGTCTCGTGGAGCAGCAGGTTGAAGTTGTTGCGCTTGACAAAGATCGCGTCGTGGTAGAAACCGCGATGCGCCTTGACGTAGCCGTGGCCGGTCTTGTGGTCGAAGGGTTGGCCGGGCTGCCCGCGCGCCTTGCAGCCCATGTTTAGGCGGCGGGCCTTTTCTTCGGTGTTGCCGAAGGCGTAGTTTTGTTTTCTGCGTGATGCCGCTCGAGCTTGGGCGTGCACGCAAAGGGGTCACGCGCAAGAAGAGCAAACAACTGGAAGTTCACAGCTGAGCTTACCCAGAGAACGCCGTTCTCACCCAATAAACTGGCACAGAAGAGAGCGACGCGACAGAGGAAGAAGTGACAAGGGAGAGGCATGAAGGTTGCAGCGAGAAGCGGCGAGAGACTGCGAAGAGAGATAGGAAGAGGCAGACGCCCTAGGGTGGGCGACGGCTAGCGCACCACACTCCTCTCCTTAAAATCCCTGTGTGGTGGCGGCGTGCCGTCCTCCCATCCCTCGCTTGGGTTGTCTGTTTTCTTTCTTTTTACACTTGGCTTCTCTGTTTTCTTTCTTTCTTTCTTTACAACACTGGGCACGGGACTGGCGCGCACTGGCACTAACACAGGTAAGAAAGAAGTGTGCAAGAAAGAAGAACTTCACCAACATGCCAGGACGATCTACCTCGTCCTCCCATCCCTACCTTGGGCTGTGCGTTTTCTTTCTTTCTTTCTTTCTACCTCGGAGGGAAGAAACCGGCGCAAGACAGCGGCACGCACCTGGGGTCGAGAGAGGAAGGGGACAATCGAGTGATAAAGCTGGAGGGGACCCCGGAGCCTCGGGGCGGATGAGACGCTGTTCCCAGGGGCAGGCGGCGGCGGCGTCGCAGGACGAGGCAGAGGGAGAGCGACGCGACAGAGGAAGAAAGAAGCGACAGGAGGGAGAACGACGAGAGTGGGACGACCGCGAGGTGGCATGCATGAAGGTTGCAGCGAGAAGCGGCGAGAGACTGCGAAGAGAGATAGGAAGAGGCAGACGCCCAAGGGTGGGCGACGGCTAGCGCACCACACTCCTCTCCTTAAAATCCCTGTGTGTGGTGGCGGCGTGCCGTCCTACACCCATCCCTGCCTTTGTCTTCCTTTGCAAAGAAATGAAGAAAACGCTGGGCGCTGAACGCTCTGACAGAGTCGGCGCCGTGGCCGGCGCCTGGCCGGCGCCACGCCAACAGAGTCGGCGCCGTGGGATCGCCATGGCGCTCCGGCGCGGCGTGATGCTGGCCGTCGTCGCTGCGCTTTCTGCGGTGGGGGCCTCGCTCACTCTCCGGACGGACGGCAAGCTGTATGCTTCGGGCGGCATCGGCGACGAGGACGAGTGGGAGGACGAGGACGACGAGCCACGAGTCTTCGGCTCCTTCTCGCTCCAGCCGGCGGCCGATGATAGCCATCCCGCGAGGGGCGCAGGCGATGGCCCAGACGAGGGAGGTGCCGCCGTCGAGGTTCCCACCCTCCAGCAGCCCCGTGCTCCCGAGCAGCGCGAGAAGATGGAGGAGGAGCTTCATCGAGAGCGGGAAGCGCAAAAGAGGAGGGAAGAGGAGGGCATCCGCTTGTGGGCGGAAGAGCGCCGGGCGGAAGACGAAAAGGCGCGGGCGAAGGCGCTGGTGGAGGCGAAGGCGCAGGCGGAGGCGGAAGGGAGGAAGCCAGCGACACGAGAGACTGGAGTGGTCCTGTCCGGCGGCGAGGACCCCGCGGCGAGGCCAGCCGTCGACGCGCTGCACAAGATCTTTGTGGAGGTCAAGACGCCGCGCTTGTCGCCCGAGGAGGTGCAACTGCTGACCTCTCAGGGGCGGATCGTCACGGGCGGCGCGGTTGTCCTCTTCGACGAGCACGCCCAGTTCGACGCGCCGCTGGCGCAGGCGGCAGAGCTGGAGCGGCAGGCCAACGACGCGGTCCGCCGCTTCTACGACGGCTTCGCCGAGCGGAATGCGCGCGGCGAGTTGGCCATCGCTCGGCTCGGGGACAAGCGGCTCCCCGGCTTCTCCGAGGACGGGACGCCGGAGGAGGGCGCGCTCGCCCCCGGCGCATTTCCGTCGCTCGCCGTGTTCCGCTCGCCCTTCCAGAGACTCTCTCCCAGGCACTGCCAGTCGCTCGCCGCGCTGCACGAGTGCGCCCACAACGAGGCAGCGATGCTCGAGCACTGCCGCGCAGAGTGCGCCGACATCGAGCAGGGCGGCGCGGCGCTCTCCAAGCACGCGCTGCACTCGACCCTCACAAAGTCGCACGCGCAGGGCGGCGGCTCCTTCTTCTCCGAAGAGGACGTCGGCCACCTCTGCAACGTCATCGACGTGGCGGCGACGAGCGAGGCGGCGTGGGCGCTCGTGCGGGCAGGCACGTCGGCGCCGCTGCAGCACCTCCTCCTCACGCGCGACGCTGGCGCGGGAGGAGGCCGGGCGGGTGCTGCCTCGGGGCGTCACGGCCGTCAGGGCGGCCGCCTCTCGCCATAGGCGGCACGCTGGCCGTCATCCTCTCGCTCGGCTGCGTCGGCAAAGGGCGGTGTCTAGCCGCCGCAGCGGCACGGGTAGAAGTGTGAGGAGGCGCCGTTCGATCTCTAGGCAAGGACGGCATCCACCTGCTGCAGCGGCACGGCTCGACCGTCTCGCACCAGATGCCAAAGGGTCCGCCGACGCCCGGGGCCCCGCCGCCTTCGCTCGACAGGGCCGCGCTGCTGGAGGTGTCGCAGCGCATCCGCGCCCAGAGCACCAGGAAGGGGGATAATGCCTTGGCGGAGCAACTCGAACGGGCCGCCGCGTCGCTGCCGCCGCCTGCCCGGCTTCGGCCGGCGGCAAGCTCACGAGGAGACGAGGTCGGTTGGCCTTTATCAGTCCGCGAGTCGGCGGCTTTTACGATGACGGGGGCGCTCCTGGCATTGCTCATCACCGAGGGGGCGCGCCACTTCTGGCGACCGAGAGAGCCCGCGAGGCGGGGGCGGCGGCGGCGGTGACGGCCGGACGCGCGGACGGTGCCGCTGACAGCGAGATGCGGGCGGTTCTCGCCGACGCCTCATACCGCTCTCGTGTGCGCGTAGTCTACTCGTAACTCGAGTTGTGTATTTGGCCGGGGATTTTTTTCTCTCCGGCGCGGGATACGTAACTTCGGGCCCGTGCGCCGTGCGGCCGTGCGAAATCTCGCTGACGCTGTGTGCCACTTGCCACACCCCGCAGTGGCTCTGCCAATCGGGACGATGGGTTTGGCAATGCCGGACCTGGGTCCTGGCAGACCTGCTCGACCGGACGCCGTAACGTCTAATAAGAGGGAAGAGTGGGTCTCACAGAGCCGCCGCGTAGAGGGTTTGCCGAGCCCGAGGGTGGGGCAGGGGGAGTTCATTCTATCTACATTCACAGGGAGAGACGATCGAGGGGTCCCGTACCATGCCGAATCGACCCTATCCAGTGCTCAAGTGCTCAAGACCTTCATTGTCCCGAGAAGGGGGCCGAGTTCACTTCACAATCCCATCTCCGCAGCACAGCAGGGTCACTTCACAATCCCATCTCTGCTTCGAGGTCATCTCGAAAGGAATGGTCAGCGGCTCAGCGCCGCGGCACCGAGCACGGTGATCCTCTCGCGCTCCGAGCTGCCGCGACCTCGTCCGAATAGGATAAGCGCGACGTCCCCCCATTGTCGGCAAAAGCGCGAAAGGGGGGGCTGCGACGACCGATGCTGCCCGGATCGATGAAGGAGCCGCTGGTATCCAAGGGTGAGACCACGGTGGTCAAGTCGAAACTCTGGTTTGGCTACCTGCCGCTCTGGCAGGAGACCGTCCCGCTGCATCCAAATGGCAAGATCGACACCGTTCGGCTCATCGCCAACATCATGGCTGGCCTCATCATCGGCATCCGCCAGACGCTCTCGGCTATCGTGTCTGCCACCCTCGTCTTTACCACGACCAGCAACCAGACGGTGGTCGACATGTTTCCCTTTGGTATCTCCATGATGTGGTGGTCGACCGTTGCGGGCACTGTATGGTACGGCATCTTTGGGCGGCTCCAGTACAACACCTCCGCCACGCAAGAGGTGTGCGCCATCTTGTACGGCGCGATGGCAGGCAAGGCTGCAACTTTTCTCGAGGACACTCCCGACAAAATCCCGCCGACGGTCCTTGCGCTGATAGTCACGGGGACCATCCTCACTGGCTTTGGCACCGTGGCCTTTGGAAAGCTGGGGATCGGCAAGATGATGCTGTCCTTCCCGACACCGGTGACCAATGGATTCCTTGGCACCATTGGCTTCTTCCTTGTCAAACAGGCCCTCCAGATTACTTCCGGCGTGAAGTTCGTTCACTTCTACCCCATTTCATTCTCCGCCTTTTTCGCGATGCGCAGCGTGTTGCCGCTCCTGTGCCTATTTGCCATGGTGATGGTGATGCGTAAGGGGCCCAGGCTGCTCGGCAGCGCCTTCCCCAAGAGCAAGGCGGTCAAGAAGCTTGGTGGCCTCTTCTGCCAGCTCTCCCCGCTCTTCGTTTTCTACATCGTCATCGGAATCGGCCGGATGGATCTCGACACGCTCGGAGAGGCGGGCTGGGTCTACCCTGCGCAGGCGCCCCAGAGCTTCACCACGCTCTGGACCACGTACAAGCTCTCCGATGCCGACTGGGGTGTCGTGGCCGCGTGTGTCCCCGACTTTGGGTCGCTGGTGCTCATGTCCGCGCTCTGCACCATGACGGGCGTCCTCGGCATCACGGGCAAGTTCCCAACAGGGCCCGACGGCGACCCGGCACCCGACGAGGGGGCCGACTTCGACATGGAGCTGGCGACGGTCGGCGTGGGTGCTGTGTTCACGGGGCTGACAAATGGTGTCGTCACTTTCCACCGCCTGGGAAGCTCCATCCAGATCCGGATGGATGGCGGGACTCACCGCATAGCTGTCTTCTCCTCGGCGGCTTTTGTTGGCGTCTTCTTCTTTTCCGGCATTCCGCTCGGCCACTACATCCCGAAGTTCTTCCTCGGGGGGCTTTTCATGTCAAGCGGTGTCTCCTTCATGGAGTCTGTCATCTTCTCTTACCAGTCGATGGCCTCCTCCGGTCTCACCCTGTTCGGCTCTGACGTGCCCACCTGGGAGTATTTTGGCTCGCTCCTCTGCATAGCTACTGCCGCCTACACGTCGCCCCTTGGTGGTATCGCTGCCGGTCTCCTCGTGAGCGTCCTGAGCTTCCTCGCCTCTAGCTCGAGCAGCACGCCAGTGAGCAGCGTGTCCGACGGCCGTTTCACCATGGGACGGACGTTCCGCCCCATCTGGGAGCTAAAGGCGTTGCGGACCTACGGAGATCGGATCGCGATCCTCTACCTGCAGGGTCAGCTCTTCTTTGGCTCTGGGCAGCGACTCGCGTCGCTCATCGCGGAGGCGGTAGAGAGCAGGCACCACCTTTCATACTGCATCCTCTCATTCGCGAAGGTGTCCGGTATGGACGTCTCGGCAGTTGACTTCCTGCGCAGCGTGCAGCGAAAGGTGGCGCGCAAGGGCTGCAAGCTCATCTTCTGCCGCATGGAGAAGGAGGTCTTCTCGGCGCTGTCGGCAGCCAAGCTCATCAACTCCCCGAGCAAGGAGCTGCGCGACGTCATTGCGGGCACCGTCGAGCAGCCGAGAGCTATGTCGATACCCAATGCTATCCCCGAGGACGAGGAGTTCGTCGACCAGGAGGACGTCCACGACATCGGCCTCGGCCACCGCAAGACCCAAATCCTGATGCTGCGCAAAGATGTCACATTCGAGCCACTCGAGCCGTTTGGCCAGGGGAATGACGATGCGTTCGACCACGAGACGGACGCCCTCGACTTCTGCGCCGAGAAGGTCGTGAAGGAGGTTGTTTACTTTCAAGGTGCCAAGCTCGACCCGCAGTTGTTGCAGTTCCGCGCCGCCTGCGAGACGGGGACGAGGATCACCGAGAGCACCTTCGAGAGCCTCAACTCTCTACCGAAGGGCTTGATGGCCGAGATCAAGCCGTCCTGCAAGGTTTTCGACCAGTACGCGCCCAACACGGCGCGCGGATGGACCACAGCACGCGCAGCCGCAAATGCCCCACGACGCCGGCCGGATGTCTGAGATAGGTGCTCAAAGACAAGACCTCGGTCTACTTTATCTTTAAGGGGGCTGTCTCCATGGTGGACTCGATCCAGCTGAACAAGGCTAGGGAGGTCCGTCGGCACGCTCTCGTCGATGCAATCGCCACCCGCTCCTAAATGTCTGTAGGGTTCCTCGCTGGCCTTCACGCTCAACGTAGGCGTCAAGGGGTTCCACGGGCGCGGCGGAAAGCGCTTGCGAAAGCGTTACCCGCCGGGCACTGTGGTGTGCATACTAGATGGCCACGGCCACAGACCAGCCGTCAGCTACAGTCCGTACTCCAGTAGTGAGAACCACCTCATCCTTGGTGCTAGGTCGGCAAGATGGCGTTTGCACTCAACCGGACCGGGCGAATGCTCGACGACGGCGTGCAGTCGGAGCTCGTCGTCTCGAGCAGGCAAGCGTTTCCTTCACCCCAGCACAGCAGCCCTCGGATTTACCTCGGTGTCATTGACAGTAATCTCCTGGCAGGTACGGAACGACCGCCGAGCTCTGGGAGCTTACCGCTGAATCGTGGGACTCGCTCTCGGAGGAGATCCAGAATGCGTTGCGCGACCTGCTCATCGTCCAGCAAGCGGAGGAGCGGCAGCACACCTTCCTCTGCGGCGAGTAACGCGCGTCCGAGGCGGCCGACCCTCTGATCCGCTGGCACACATTCGCACTGCCGCGCCACCGCCAGGCGGGGGCGCAGGGGCGCCACCACAACACGACCGCGTCCCGACACGCTCATCCTCATGCGCGCTACTCTTACTGTAGTGTCTCTCTCTCTCTCCGTGTGCAGCCACGCGAGTTCGACGAGGTGCTTTTTAATATTGTCATGCTGGGTCAGCAAAAAGCGTGAGAAAGCGGTATCCAAATTCCAATCGAAGTTCGAACGGACGACGCGGTGTCTGCGTACAAAGAACCCTGCACAAAGACCGCAGGGCGGGGACCTGTTCCTTTTTACCCATCTCCTAGTAGAGGTGTCCGTTTTATTTATTTATTTATTTGGTATCTGCGTATCTCCCCTCTGTACTCTCTCGGCTCTCGCTACTCACGCCGAGGACTGAGCGACATCAGAGCCGATATCACTGAGACTCACCGTCGGTCACACGTACTTCTCTCCTCTCTCTGTCTCTTTCTCTCGTCTAAACGCTATCCCCTGGGCATCACTCGCCATCCTCCTCCGCCTGCTGCTGCAAGTGTTTTATCAACTGGTCCTTCAGCCACGGCTTGCGGCGCGGAACGTAGGCGCCGAGCGAGGAGTCAAACCTGCAAGGGCGCCGGGATGCAGCGAGTTGGGTGTCACTCTGGCTTGGAACGCTCGCGCGACGTTCGCGCGTTGCGGATGTCAGTGAACGCTTGCGGTGGCGGCGCGGCGGCGCGGCGCAGAAGTGCGCACTCGAGGCACGCGACATCGCTCAGCTGATCGAGATAGCCATGAACGTCGGCTATGTCGTAGGTGATGCTCTTAGATCCTGGATTTAGCCGCTTGAGCTCCTTTTCGTAGATGCCCAGGAGATCTGCATGCGGGGCGCGGAAATCACGCGGGCTGCGGCGCAGCGCCCGGGCGCTGCGGGTCGGGCGGTGCGCACAGTCGAGAGCGAGCGAGCGGCCCTCAAAGTCGTGGTAGCAACGCGAGCCAAGCTGCACGTTGTACTGCACAAGCAGGATGGTGTGACTCTCGTCGGCCATACCTCTCGAAATGCTACACCGCGCGGCGGCCAGAAATACACCGCGCCCGGCGGCCAGAAAAAGAAATTCCACGGCCGCGCTGTCATCTACTCGTCCTCCCATCCCTCCCTTGGGTTGTCTGTTTTCTTTCTTTCTTTCTTTTTCGCCGCCTGGGTCGTTTGGGGTGCCTCGCAGCTGCGTAATCTTGTATTGTCGTCGAGTAGTACAGGTACTGCGTGGGGGCGGTACGACGTACGTATTCTCGTATCACTAGCTCCGAGTAGAGGGGGCGTTGAGCACTTGAGCACTGGATAGGGCCGATTCCGCATGGTACGGGACCCCTCGATCGTCTCGCCCTCCCTCACTGGTGTGTTCATTGGGGGGGGTCATAACAAACACGGTGCAGGATCGAGGTGCACGCTGCCGAGGCAGTGTCGTCCCCCCTCTCCCCGACGGCGATGACGGTGTGACCGATCGAGCTACAAGAGGAGCTTGTTCAGCAGGATCTGGGATAGTCTGGCGCACTACCTCACTGGGCCTGAGACCGCCGAGACAGCATCCCATCACCCCTCCGGGTTTGCGTGGGGTCGAACCACTCCGGGATGGGCAAGCCCATTGTCTTATTTCAGTTCCCCTCGCACCTGCGAGGGGGCGTTCTGCAGTTAAGGGGAAACCTGGTACGCGGGGCTAACCCTCGGAGAGTATTCTTTAGCTCCGAGTAGAGGGGGCGTTCCGCAGCTAGGGGGGCCCACAGCGCGAGGGAAAAATTCCGCCGCTGCGCGCTGGGGGAAACCCGGAGCGCAGAACTAACCCTCGGAGACCCGTGTTGTGGCCCTGCGAACGCGCACCCCCCAGGGCTAGGGCTCTCTTGCCCGCAACCCGATGCCAATCATCCGGCCCGCTGGGTGCGCTTCTCAGCTCCCCGGCCCTGGATGTGCGGTTGCCGACTGCACTCCAAGTGCTCCAAGTGCGCTGCAAAAGTGAGGCTACTGAGATGCAATTCGTGCGGGTTTTCTCGAATTGCTGTGCCGGACTGTAAGGTGCCTATATGGGCTTCCAGTATCGGACCTTCAAAACATGCGCTTTTGGCCTTCAAGACCAGGTGTATTTTATTTTTGCTTGGGCGGCCAGCATGCCGGGGGACCACACCCACAAAGAACCCTGCACAAAGACTGCAGGGCGGGGACCTGTTCCTTTTTACCCATCTCCTAGTAGAGGTGTCCGTTTTATTTATTTTATTTATTTAGCATGCCGGGGTAGGTAGGGTAGGTCTGAAAAACCTTCAAAACGGCGAAACGGGGCCATGGCCGACGCTCGCGATGGCCCGTCCGTTGCGGCCAGGCTCAAACTGTGCGCGCAAGCCACAGGAGAGGCGGTGGCGCCGCAAGACGAGGCGATGATTCGCATCCTCTCGCAGCTCGCCGTGGAGCGCAACTGGTGGAGCTTCAGCGTCAACCCGACGCCCATGGGCAAGCAGTTCATTGTCCAGCCCCAGTCCCAGTGGGAGAGGGACAGGGAGCGGCAGCAGGCCAAGGAGGGCAGTACCCCACCGCAGCCTGTGCCTGCTGCCACCTCCGCCGCGGCACCGCCCGCAGCACCGCCTGCCGCCGCTGCAGCTCCGGCCGCAGCACCGCAGGCACACCCGCAGCACCAACAGGTGCAGCAACCCCAGCCCAACGAGTCGCCCGAGGGGTGGACCAGGGTTGGGAAGGGCGGCATGCCGGACAGGTTCACCATGAGGAACCCTGGCCGCAAGCCGCCGGGCAAGGCGGTCAAGCGCAAGCCTGACCGCCAGCCCGCACCCAAGGGAGGTGGACCCCCACCCCCCTCTCCCAAGGTGAACAAGAACAGGCTGAGCGCGCTGGGCGCTGGCCCTTCTGGCACCAGCGGGAGCCACGAGCGCGCACCACCGCGCTCCCCCTCCCCCTCCTCGCCGCCTGCCAAATCACCGCGGCCGTCTGTGCCTGCTTCCGAGTATGACTCCGAGTTCGACTTTTCCGACGCTGAGGCGCAGGATAGGACGGCAGGGGTCGTACACGACGCAGTTCAGCAGGCTGTGATGCAATACGGCTATGACGACGAGCTCTTCCAGGCGTGGAGGGACGGCGAGATACGGCGAAAGGACTTGCCGGAGGAGGTGGTGGCTATGGCTTTTGACCTTTGCGAGAGGTGGCGAGCGGAGCAAGAGCGGTGTAGGCGCGTCCACGCGGCGCAGCGGCTCTCCCGCGACCCCGGCCCCTCTCATAGCCGCAGCCGTAGCCGCAGCCCCAACTCTTGCCGCTCTTCCGTGTCGGGTTGTGACGAGGGGTGAGGGGACACGGATTGAAGATCCCTCACACCAAGATCGTGCAGGGCGGGGACACATGTCCCTAAATCCCATCTCGTCTCAGAGTTTGCCCGTTTTATTTATTTATTTATTTAGGGTAGGTCTGGGCCCTCCCGTCGGGCTTTTCCCTCTTCACGCCGGAATCAAAAAAAGAAAATTTCCGCCGAAATCACGATGTCAACCCTCCCCAAGTGGGTGATCTGGTGCTTGTAGGGCTTGAGAGTGGCCTGTCATGTCTCAGGAAGGACTGTGGTTGCAGGAGAGTACCACCAACCATCACTTTAGTTGGTATAGTACCCCACCTTCACCCGTCCCATGATTTCTTTTTTAGTTCCCCATAACATAAGTAGGGTAGGTAGGTAGGTAGGTAGGTAGGTAGGTAGGTAGGTAGGTAGGTAGGGGCACCGCAGGGGCCGGTCGGGGTTTTTGCAGAATTTCAGAATTTCAGCATGGCCGCCCAAGCAAAAATAAAATACTCGTCGCCCAACGATGGACGTTTTGTCGCCGACTGAAGCCCGTCGCGAACACCGTGCGCGGCAGCATTCAAGCGGCACAGGCATTGCGAGCACGCTGGTGCTCCTGCGTGCCGGCACCAAGCTTCAATTTCCGAGGCTGACACTGCATCACAACGTTGATATCGCATGCGGTGCGCTTGTTGTGGGAGCTGACGCGCCCAGCCAATCCAGCGCCCCTAGCCATCGAGATAGCTCTGGGGCCCTTTTACAGCACAGCTGCTGTGCAATCTACTGTGATCCCTGTGCGTGCGCCGCAGGACGGTGACCACCTTACTGCGCTCAATGTTCGCGGCCGTAACGCCTCCCCGGTGTGAGTCTTCCTCCTCACACAGCACCAGCACCAGTGCACTGCCACGACACTCGCCCTCAGTTCCAGCACTGGCGCCTCTGCCGTCTTCGACCACCTTGTGCCTATGCCGCCTTCACCACCGCGCCAGCCCTTGCACACGCGTTTACACCATTGCGCCGGCAGGGCACGGGCACACGCTTTACGGCAGTCTTCACTTACCCACGCTGCTCAATTGGCTCAATCCCTCCCCACCTAGCTGCTGCCTCGCATCCCGCTGCTGGACGTACGACTGCGGCCGCAGCGCAATGCATCGCTCGAGGGCCGACCCCGGATACTGGGATACTGCAGGATACTGCGGGATACTGCTGGATACTGCTGGATACTGGCCATCTCTGATGCGGATACTGGGATACTTGGCGGGGCTGGAGGACCAAGTAGCGCCCAGTATTGCAGTATTATTACTTGGCGTTTAGCTCTGCGATATTGGGATACTTCGCCGGCGTGGATCGATTACTGTGATACTCACCGGGTGCGTCATCACGAGTATCGAAGTATCCGCGGTACCAGCTCGGAGTATTGAAGTATTATTACTGCGCAATATCTCAAAGGGGAATCGTTCACAGTATCCCAGTATTTGAGGCCTGCTGCGAAGTATCCCAGTATCTGGACAGCCTCCGCGAAGTAGAAGTAAGAAAATACTTTAACTCTCCTTGCGTACTGAGGCTCCCCCAACCGCGCATTAACCAGTGTACGCGGACGGCCAGGGCCGTCAATGCCGAAGCGCTCTCGCGAGGACCGGCTGTGGGGCTGGCTGGTGCCCCACAACCCGCTGTGCGGCGGCCCGGCCCCTCTCCGCGGGCGAACCGTCATCATCGGCCGAGAGGGCGACGTGCGAGCACCGTGCAACCCGCATCTCTCGAGGCGCCAAATCCGGCTCGAGCGAGAGGATGACGGCAGGGTCTACGCGACGCACCTCTCCGAGACGAACCACACCTGGCTCAACTGCAAAAAAATGGAGCGTGGTCAGCGGATCCTCGTCGAGCCGTGTGAGGGCAACAAGCCACATCAGCTGAGAGGCGAGGCGCCGGACGCGCCACTCCTCTTCGTCAGCGTCGTGCACGCCTGCGCGGCGCGCGCAATGCTCGAGGATAAGCGGCTCGAGGGCTGGTGCGGCTGGTCGCTCCGCCTCGAGCCGGAGAGAGACCGCAGCGCTGCGGCGGCGGCTTCCGTGCCTCTGGCCGTCGCGCCGTCTCTGGCGGCGGCGGCGGCGGTGGCGCCGGCAGCGGCTCCGGCGGCGGCAGCGATGGTAGTCCACGAGGAGGTGCGCACGCCCGCCGCTCCGCCGACGGCGGTGCTCTGCCCCGAGGAGCCGGTCACGAAGGAGACCATCTTTCGCGGTGTGCGGCTGCTGCTGGCGGTGCGGCGGCAGCGGCGGGCGAGACTGCAGATGGAAGCCTCCCCGCAACTTCCCGGAATCTTCTCATAGGTGCGGCTGGGCAAGGAAGTGATGGGGAACGTGGTGCGGCGCGGCGGCGGAGAGGTCGTGGGCGACGTGCGCGAGGAGGCGGTGTGAGACGCCGTGAGATGAGCGGAGACGAGCCGAGAGTAGGTTGTGAGCGAGGTGCGACAGGCGACGCACCTGGCGCTCGAGTCGAACCGCCGCCCCTCCGAGCTGCCGCTCCTCGCCGCGGTGCCGCGGGCGAGCTGGCCGCGGATCGTGACGCAGGAGTGGGTCGGGAACTGCTCCAAGGTCTTGTCGGCCGACTGCACGCGACTCGAGGTGCCGGAGATGCCGCCCCCCCCCCCTTGCCA